AACTGTTGAAAAAAAGTGTTAAATTTTCGTCCACATTTAAGCTCATCCTACCGAACCGATTTTGAAAAATCAAAAACTGTTCGAAAGATATCATTTGGGAATGATACTGATTAATTTTAGGTGAAAATCTACCGAGCCGTTTTCTTGTAATTAACTGTTGAAAAAAAGTGTTAAATTTTCGTCCACATTTAAGCTCATCCTACCGAACCGATTTTGAAAAATCAAAAACTGTTCGAAAGATATCATTTGGGAATGATACTGATTAATTTTAGGTGAAAATCTACCGAGCCGTTTTCTTGTAATTAACTGTTGAAAAAAAGTGTTAAATTTTCGTCCACATTTAAGCTCATCCTACCGAACCGATTTTAAAAAATCAAAAACTGTTCGAAAGATATTAGTTGGGAATGATGCTGATTAATTTTAGGTGAAAATCTACCGAGCCGTTTTCTTGTAATTAACTGTTGAAAAAAAGTGTTAAACTTTCGTCCACATTTAAGCTCATCCTACCGAACCGATTTTAAAAAATCAAAAACTGTTCGAAAGATATTAGTTGGGAATGATGCTGATTAATTTTAGGTGAGAATCTACCGAGCCGTTTTCTTGTAATTAACTGTTGAAAAAAAGTGTTAAATTTTCGTCCACATTTAAGCTCATCCTACCGAACCGATTTTGAAAAATCAAAAACTGTTCGAAAGATATCATTTGGGAATGATACTGATTAATTTTAGGTGAAAATCTACCGAGCCGTTTTCTTGTAATTAACTGTTGAAAAAAAAAATTTAATCCTTCTTTCATGGAACTTTTTTTGGCGATATACATCATGGTGTTATAGAACTTACTGTAATATTACGGCCTTACAACAAGTAGTTTAATTTTAAAAATTCGTCAAACTTTGCTAAAATTATTATCGTTTTTTTTAAAGTAGGATTGATGAAGTATATTATTTACACATTTTTTTGATCAAGTCGATTATTTACACATATCGGGAAGTTCATGTAATTTGCCTCAAGGCTAAATACCAAACCAACTAGTTGATCCCTTTCTCGAGTATATGAGCGCTGGTTGCTACATACATGAAATATTATGCTCTCGGCAAAAAGTCTGATTTGCTAATTTGTTTTCTTGGCGCTTTAGGACATTCTGCCCAAAATTTGTTATTTTTTTGTCGAAGTTTTCTCTAAAATAGTTCGTGAAAATCGACAGGTATACTCGCGTTAGGTATATCCGTTTCGCTAGAATTAGCTGAGAAATACAAAATTATTCATCCACTTTTTCGCAAAAAGCCGAAATCATTTTGAAAATTTAAAAGCCAATATAACATTATCTTCTGTTATCAGTTGGGATTCGATTTTCAGTATAAATCTGCTTTGCTGTTTCTTCGAAATTCATTTATCAAAATGTATTTTTTTTCTCATGACAATTGTGGCAAGAAAATTGCGCCATGAAGGTGCTAAGTCACAATTATTATTGGTTAAAACGATTATTTACTCATATTTTAATTATTTATACTTAAAGCAAAAGACTCACACACTGATTCAAAATAACTTGGAACGTCGAGAATACATACATGATCTGTTCAAAAAGTACCCGGAATTACTAATAATTAAATTTCGCGGGGCTGGAGTGTCTGATTGTCAAAATTTTTTTTTTATTGTGTTGGTATACATGCCCCTAAAGTATGATGAAATTTTCAGCTATATTCACTGTTTACTTTGTCTGTGGTAGTCGCTAAGGTTTGACGTGTTTTTCTGAGCTCGGCGATTTTTACAATGGAAGAATTGAAAAAGTCAAAGAATTTGTATTAAATTTTGCGTAAAAAATGAAATAAAGTGTTGCAAAGTGCAAAAATTCACCAGATATGGCTCCGTGTGACTTTTTCCTATTCCCAAAGTTGAAGAGACCCATGAAAGGACGGCGGTTTTCCTCGATTGAAGAAAATCGCCGAGAGTGCTCAAGGACATATCAAAAAGTGAATATCAAGGGTGCTTCGAAAATTGGAAAAAACGCTGGCATAAGTGTATTATATCTGGGGGGGACTACTTTGAAGGGGACCACATTAATGGAGACGAATAAATAAATATTTTTTTGAAAAAACGAAAATTACGAAAACTTTTTGAACAGACCTCGTACATAAAATTCTCCTGCGTTTTTGTAATAATAAAGTGCGTTTTTTTCTATTTTATGTATCATTGATAAAATATGTACAGGTAGATACTATACAAACGGTATAAAAAATCTTGAGAAAAAATAAGAATTTTATCCCATATATATACATATTTTAAATCTTCGTCATGTTGTAGCTGTAACATATTGAAATATAATATATCATAAATAGTAGCTGCCTATTTTTGCGTGTTGAAATAATATTGATGAAAAAAGTTGCACAGAAACTTGTCAGAATACAGAGAGATTATATACGCTTCAATAATTTCCACCCCTTGCTCTATAAGATTGGATGATTGAGTCCCTATGTTTGATTTGTCCATTTGTCCGATGTCCTAAGGACATTTGTCCTTCTTGAAGCATTTGATTACGTCGATACTGGTTTGTTTCCAGTCCTTTGCATCGTTAACATTTATTAGAAAGGGATCTTTTTGAAATGTGTTGATTTTTCACTTGGTTTAATATTCAATGTTCATGTGTTATATGGTTAAATATAGACAATTTTGGAGAATTTGTTTTATTGGTTCTAGTGTACATATTTACATAATTTTACACACAACTATTGTGTCAATAAATATAAAACCATTATATATATATATATATATATATATATATATTATTATTTAATATTAATTATTATATAGTAACTTTTACACCTGTCCTGAAATGATCAACAAGTAATACTTCGAAAAAAAGAAAAAAAAGACTTGGAAAATACAAAATCTTTTATCTTCACAAGATTTTGAAAACAGACGTATGTTAATCTAACATAAATTTGTGAATATATTTTGAAGGAAGGCATTTTGTAAATTCGGATCTTACATAAATTTCAAGAAATAGAAAATTCTTATTTTCAGCCATTGTAGTGCATTTGTATTTATTTAATTCCTTCTAGAAATAAGATTAGTGACCTAACGTAGGTAGTAATACTCATCTTCTTAAGTTTCATAATATAGTTCTTTAAATCCAACAATAAGTAATATTACCTCAAAGAGGGATTATTTTGTGCAGGATTCAAAATGATTGTTAGTCGCGTACACCCGTCCGTTTCTTGTAGAGATAATGCTGAAATACAGGGATGGCAAAATATTTTGTTATTGAATTTAGTAAAAATGCTGATTAAAAAGCGGAATAAATCTCTAACATTCTATTCTATAAGAATGGTGTAATATTGAATTGATTATTTAATTCAAAATTATGTAAAAAAATAATTTGAAGAGTCAGATACGTAAAAACCATTGTAGTTCAGCTTCTCTACTACTACTAAAACCATTAAAGAATTTTTATACAATTATTATTGAATTACGTAAAAACATGATTTTTTTTAAAAATTTGTTCTAGAATTCCATAAGTTTGGGTTATAGTCCTAGTCTTCATTCAGTGTAACTATAATTAAATTTAAAATTTAAAATATGTTACAGTAGAGTTTGAAAAATGAAAAGTAAAAAATTAAAAAGCACTTAAAAATTTCTTATTATTAAATACCCAATATTAAAAACAAACAAAAAACATTGATCCATATGGTATGATAGGACTACACTATGTAATAGAAACAATAAAACTGTTATATTTATAAAGTTTTCTTTATAATTTTACTAACTTAGAAATATGTATATATAAAATTGCATCTACACAAGAAAATTCTCGAAATTTTATATAAAATTGATTCTATTTTTTAATATCGTTCGATATCGAAATTTTGCATTTTTTTTTTTGAAATAGGGATTTTTTATATTTACATATAAAAAATGATGTATAGTTACAGTTTAGTAATATAGTAACCTTTTTTAGTCCATCCCTAGTGTGCACTCTTGCAAAGCAAAAAGCAAATGCATTTCTCGTCCTAAGACCCCGTAGCTCGTTCTATCCGTTTATATTGTGTTATAAAAAGCTAATTTTCGAAGCATGAGGATTTTCACTACAATATATAACAAGAGAACGATTTCCTTTATCGGACAATGAATGAAGTAAATATCTACAAGTACAACTTTGTGCACTCAACCATATTTTTGGAGCACCAATTGCAATGTTGAGTGACATTTATTACTATACACATATTAGTAATAGAATTATTTGTAATATGATATTACATATTTACAAAAGTTAATTATTATGGGAAGGAAAGTAGGACTTTGTAGAGCAAACTTTGTTTGCGAAAACTTTATAATTTAAGTATTGTGTTGAAAATCACATCATGATCTCCATTAATCTGGGGTTATTATATAATATAATTCTTACCACATCATAATATCATAATATTTATAAGAATGTTAAAATTGAAATAGCACCATATGCATGCTTGATAAAACTACTTTTGTGATTGTGGCTTTAAGATGCAGTATTGAATTACAAATTTGATTTTATCTGCAAATATGAGATTTTTTAGATAACGTCTTATTAAATATAAGACATAATTTTAAGTCTCAAGTTTATATTATTTTATAAATGATATTGTTTTGTATTCGCTTTCGAATGCACGTCTCAAATGCGCAAGATTTGAACTTGGCGCATGTGTGTAGTGTGAATCTTAGATTTTGACAAAATATCATTCGCGATATTGTCAGATGGCGACTAACTGTCAAACATACAACTAGCATGTGTTGTGTGGCATTTTGACTAATTTTAACTTGTATTGAGACAAAAATAAAGTAATGAATTTAATTTATAATTTAGTCATTGGAACAATGAATACTAATAATAAATATACCTAAATAAACCAAGCTCTATGTTTTTCATTCAAATATGTATATAGCAACTTGACAGTTCTTAACCTTTAAGGACTGTGGTTTTTAAAATACAAAATTAATTGAATTTGTTTATTTTATAGATCAACATAGCGGCCTCAACATATTTCTTCATTTAACAAAAATATTATTCTGCAATCAATTTTTGTTAAGAACGAAATGTATATTCAAAATAGAGGTGGGTGAGTTGAATTAAAGATCAATTTTGTATCAAATAATACGAAATTAATAGATTGTCTTTTTCAGATTCCTGCATCCTGAACTTCTTTATAAATAGTACAACTTTTTAATTTATTAGAATATATTATGACAATCATAACTTCTATAATCTCATAGCAAAAATGAGTATAAAAATGAATCTGAGATCTTTCAATGAAGCTTTTGTAATTGTGAGTATTGAAAAAATGATAGATCAATTATTAAATTTTTTTATATTATTTTGCATTCAACAATTTATTCACACACACACACACACACACACACACATATATATATATATATATATATATATATATATATATATATTGTATTAACAAAGACTTGTAATCGGGCATAAATGTTTTTTATTGATGTTATGCCCGATTACTAGACTTTGTTAATATATATATATATATATATATATATATATATATATACATATATATAATGAGTGTCTGTGTTATATATTTTCATGCGTTACATCAATTTACCTACACAAATGAACATATCATTTACTTTTATTGGCTAACGTCAGTCTAACAAATCATCACAGATGTTCATCTTCCATTTTGAAACTAATACCCCGGGTTATTGATTTTTGAAACCGCTTTGTATTATTTCTTTTGTGTTCTGCACATATTACCCGGTCTAGCTTTACAGTATTGATCGAGAGCAGAGAAATACAGTCTTTATAAAAACATTATATATGTTTTATATTTTTTTGTTATGATTTACAAAATTATGACGAGGGTCAAATTCTGCTACCTGAGCTCTTCTGGCAACATCTACTTGATTAAATATTAATAATGCATATAATGATTAAATTGTTATATATTACAAATTTTATAATTATTACATCATTGTATTTGAATTTAATTTTATTTTTGATTATTATGATAATTTATTTAATATCTTACATACTGCATTTGCAAATACATACTGCTATATATTTATCTTGTAACGTTTTGTGCTACGAGAATGTACCATAGCTATATACCCTAAATAATTTTTTATACCTTTTGTATATCAAGCAGGATAATATATAGTATATAACAAGGGAAGGACTTCTAGCAATCGATCTACTTCATTCATTCAGTTGTATGTAGTGCGTTACACGGTCCATGTTGTTCAATCGTGCAAACTATATTTCTTAGTAATATCATAATAAATATATACATCTCAAATTTCATATGTTCATTGTTAAGCTGTCATATTTTTTCAATGTATTTTTACCTACTGTGATTAATAGAATTATTACTGTGTTGAGTTTAGCCAAGCATAATGTAGGTAGGTAGGCATATTGAAGCATTTACCTGCTTGCTTTTCTTATTACCTTTCATGTTTAGATGAATATTGAATTGAAATTTTGTTTTATCTTATTTTTATTCATTCCACTATCTTTATTATATATATATATATATATATATATATATATGTATGTATATATATAAGAAAAAACAATATATTGCTGCATGGATGCATGAAAACATAATCATATTATATATAATTAACTTATTTTATAAAAAAAATGTTGTTCCAGAGTACATAACACCATGCAGCATATTCTGGGGTGCTCAACCTGCTTTTTAAGCAAACTGGGGGAAATAATCCTGCAAGTAATTATTAAAAAACTTGTTAAGTTATGAATCAAAATACGTCACAGTTTCCACCAAGATCAGGTATTTTTTTATTTAATAATATAAATTTTTCTTATTTATAATACACAATATATATATATATATATATATATATATATTTGAAGTTTTTTTGCAATGATGAAATTAATTTTAAATTGTAAAGTAGAATAACAATTTCTATAGTTTATATATATATATATATATATATATATATATATACATATGTTTTAAATACATTTTTGAATACGATAATATTGAATTCAGCACATATTGTACATATGTTAAATTACAGCTTTATCTTCTCAATCATTTCACAAATCAGACCCCTTTCTGGAGACTTCACCTCGACCGCCCGTGCCAGGGGCAGAGGAAATACTGGCAGATGGTGGTGGTCCATATTCGCATCATCGATATAATTTAATGCAAGATGATGCAATACCTCGGAAAAGTTTTACAAACCAACTGATAAATAATGGGCGAATGTCTTCACCTTATTTAGGTGGGTCTGAGAAAATGTTTCCTTTGCATTAAATTTCAATTTTTTTTAAATATTCAACACACACAGATACATTTTATGTCCTTTTTATGTTCTGAGTTGATGATATTTTGTATTTTGTAGAAGTTTTAAATGGATTTGAACCTGATGGCTGCAGCACTAGTTCACGTGGATTTCGAGAAACTCCACCCCCTCCTGATAGAACTCCTCCTTCCTACTTGAGATGGGCCCGAAAACTATCAAGCCTTTTAGAAGATAGGCAAGGTGTTGAGTTATTTAAGAAATATGTGGAACAGGAAGGGGGTATTCATGCAGACAGACTTAATTTTTATTTTGCCTGTGAGGGTTTAAAACAGCAAACCAATCCTTCAAAAGTCAAACAAATGGTCGGAGCCATATATCGTTTTTTACGTAGAAGTCAATTATCAGTTCCTGAAGATTTAAGAAGGCAAATTAAATTGGGTTTGAAGAATGATCAAATTTTAACTGCTGACATTTATGATGGAATGCAAGCAGATGTACGTTAAAGACATATAGTATTTTTGTCATTCATCTTAAATTGTAGGAATATATACGATCTAATGTCTTTTTAGGCAGAAAAACTTATTAACGATACAACTTATCCCAATTTTCTGAAATCAGAAATTTATCTGTCTCATGTTCAGCTTATGCAAAGCCAAGGTAATTGTAATGATGTCTCAGACACATGTAGCAGTTCTAGTTCAGGGAGTGCGCAGGTTAGTCATATATTTTTAACCAATATTCTGAGCTGGATTATTAGAATCTATTAAGATTGTCTTATACTGTATTAATAATCTATACTCTTTTAACTAGGTTTTATCTTGCACCCAAAGTAATTCAGCTCTACCAACATTGCACGAAGATTTGGAACTTGGGGACAGTTTTCAATCAGAACAAGGGATAGCACCCAGGCTTACTAAAGATTTATTAATGGCCACTCAAAGAAGAAGGTTAGACCAAAGGCCCAAACCTGAAACCTTTGCAGGGTATGCACAGTCCTCCAAATTATTTTATTGTGTAGTTTTTGTTGTAGCTGTAGTTTATGAATGTTGGGTTTACATAATTTATAGTTATTAAAAGTTATAATTTCATTACTTAATAGTAATGTTATTACTACTTTGAATGCCAATGCATTTTTATCTAATTTTTATTAAAGTTACATGTTAGAAAATCTGGAAAGTTTCGTTGCTTTTTAGCATGTTTTACATATATGAAATTTTAGTTTTGCTTTCCATGATTTATGCAAACATTTATATATTTTGAAGTAAATTGTCATATTCATTTATAATTGCTTGAAACACTGCACTTCAAGTTGCAAAAAAATGTCTGCATAATAAATCTGCACAACTAATATGTCTATTGAATGGACATTTCACTTTGAAAGATGCACTTTTCTTGTTATCAAGTGTAATATTGAAATATTTGTTTGCGATTTGGTTAAATCAATTAGCTTGCTGTCTCGTGGATATTCTGTGTATTCGCATCCGCACGCTGCCTATTCTTCTTATAACCCAGTGTCCCGACAAGACTCTGAACAGCAGTCAATGAGTAGTGGTCGTACAGATTCTGACACTATGTCTATGTCAGGAAGTTCTGTGTAAGTTATGTTATCAATACATAGTTATAGCATACTTTCCATCAAATAGTTTATTATTATTGTCTATTTTGGATAATTTTTTCAAATCGATCTATGCAGATCAAATAGATTGCTTAGTTTTTTGGAAATGTTTTATATGTTATTATTATTATTATGTTTTTTTATAATTTCTGTTATGTACTTGTTTATATCCATTATTTTCAAATATTTGTTTTAATAAAATTTTTGAATCAAATACACGTAATATGTAGATATATTCCTAGTCAATACGAGTCTAAACATATAATACCTATTTCAATAAAAAAAACATTTTTTTTTGTAGAGATGGAATATCAATAGGAAGAATGCATACTGGAAGACATCACTTCAGGCACAATCGTGCTATAAGAGAAAGTGCTCAACTGAACAGAGATCGTAATGATATGGTACCTAATTAGTTTTCATTATTGGACTTGATTTTAATCATTGGATTATCATTGTTAAATATATGTCATATTTAAAAAGGTTATTCCAAGAACACAAAGGGTTCAAAAAGAACAATGTCTTCCTATGGAACCTGCCAAATTTGCTGCAATATTAATGAGTAAATTAGAGATTGTGAAACGAGAACAAGAATTAAAAGAAAAATTGGACAGAAATATCTTAGATGCAGGGGTAATTATAAACCTATTGGGTTATCGAAACAAAATTACATTATAAATTATATTATATTTTATGATAGAATGATTTGATTTGTGATAATGCTTATCCTGGGCAACAAAGGGCTTTGGCAGATGCTTTAAGAGAAAGGCTACAGTTAGATGATGATAACGATCAAGATATATTAGGTATATTATATTAATATTTATAAGTACTTACTTCATTCATTAGTAGAAATATTTTAAATGTAACTTTACCAGAACAGAATTTAACAGAATTATTTTTATTCATTTTACAGTTAAATGGAAAAATTTGTTATGCTTTAACCTTTGTATTTATTTAATATAGATCAACATGTTTCAAGAGTTTGGTCAGATTTGACACCGTCTAGAACTCCAGGAGGTTTTAATACACCACCCACTCAATTGCATCAAGCTGCATCCAAAATATCTGATCATTCAATACATCATCATTCTAAAACATCAGTTCTCCGTGATAGAATTGACGTTTTTAGTACATTTTCTGGAGATTCAGGAAATGTACAGGATTATCATGATTTTGCTTCATCAACAACTAAGTCAATGAGCAAAAGTCATTCTATGCCTGATTATAATGATGGAGTTTTCAATAGACATAATATTGCGAGGAGGTAGTAACATTAGAAATAATTATAAATAGAACATACTTAAAATTTTATTTTTGTAATATTAACTTATTGTTTCATTATATATTTAGGTCTGCTAGTAAAAAAACTCTTACCGATTTCACTGATAGTGGAGTTTCTGTGATGTCAGGATCCATGCCGCCACCTTCAACTGTTAATGTTGGAACTAAAGCACGTGAATCAAGGGTGATTCTGTGGTTGATGGAAGGAGGTCAACCGTTACCTGCTGAAAAGTTAGTGCTTATTTGTTGTAAATAAATATTTTCATTATATAATAGTAGAAAAGTGTATAGTTAAACAACTGTTCTAGATATTTTAATTTGTAATTAAAAATTAAAATAATTGCAATTTTGAATGCCTATTTTTGAAGTCATGTGTGATTGATACTCCATCATTTTAAATTTTCAAAATTATTTTTAGATACAGTAAACCATTTAGCCGTTCAAGTTCTACAGAAAGGTATCCAGGACACAGCTATGGATCATCTGACAGAGATAGAAACTACAGACTTGATTTACAATCTAACAGCTCAATTACTACTGATCCTAACATGCCTTTACTAGAAGAAGCGAGAAGGCGGTTGTTAGAGGAAGAAAAACAGGGCAGGCACCCCAAACAAAGGTATTGTAATAAAATAATTTTTATTATTTAATTATTTTATTTAAGTGCATTCATGTTTTTTTCAGATATTCATCTGGTAAAGTAGAAACAATGTCTGCACAATCTACTTTAAGACGTCCAGCTAAACGATCTGTTGTTTCTAACACCGCTCAACCTATAAGCACCCCTGTAGATGTCCCATCAATATCAACATCTGCTTCTGCATCAGTTATAAATTCAAATGCAGATTACACTGTTGTTGTTTTCTCATTCTGCGATGAAAAATTTCCATACAGAACTAAAATACCAGGGAGTATGATCACACTGAAGCAATTTAAAGAAATTCTGCCAAAGAAGGGAATGTACAGGTAAGCACTTTTAAGCTTTCAAGTTTTATAATGAAAATGAACAAATTCATTTTTGCTTTTTATTAGTTATAAGCTATAATGTAAGCCATCACTTTATATATTATCTTCTGTAATTTTTCACTTCAATTAGATCAAATACCTTAATTAATGTATAAATATAAATAAATCGACAACTTAGGATTTTCTCAGAATACTTTATTATTATTTTTTTAATTACAATATTTATTACAACTGTTAAATACTTTAATATCTAGTAATAATAATGAACAGTGACATAAATTTAAATAAAAAAAAGTACAAAGGATAGTATTTACATAACATAAATGTTCATTATGCAGGTATTTTTTCAAAACCGAATGTGAGGAACTTGAGAACCAAGTCATACAAGAAGAAATATTCAATGACGGAGATATGTTACCATTATGGGAAGGAAAGATTATGGCACAAGTGAAACCTTGTGAACAAAATGTGCAGCAGTAGTATTTAAAAAAGTTGTTAAGGCTTAAATTCTATTTATGTCTTAAGTCCCATTATTAATCAATATAAGTCTGAATTATAAATAAGTTAGTTATATCTTATGATAAGAAATTTATTTAAATTATAACTAAATCAAATATTATTTATTAAAGTTGGCATTATAAAAGTTGAAAGAATACTTATTAAGGTGTCTATAATTGTACTAAATTTTCATAACTAGTATTTTATATGTAAATAGGAAATTTTAAGAATAATGTGCCTTGAATTTGAGAATATTTAGACCATGTTCCAAAATAGCTGTAAATCAATATACATTTTCATCATTACATATTTTTATAATACAGTGTTCTGCACAAAATTGCATTGAAACATCTAATATTATTATTGCTTATTATGTCCATAGAACACCTAAATATTCAATATTTATAAAGATTATGTGAAAATACTCTAATTTAAAATATATTTTATCTTGATTGATACTGATTCAAATATTGTAGCAATTATAGTTACTTTACTATCTCATAATAAGTATAAATAATATATGATGTCTCATGTAATCTTTTTGCATCATTTGAGAGTATAATACCTGTAATAAATGAAATAAAAAATTGAATTTTAAACTTCTTAATAGTTATTCTTCAATAAAAGAATATATTATTTGTATATATATATATATATATATATATATTTAGTCTTTTTTTCACGTGTAGTAATCAGTTCAATTATAGTTCAATCAAGATTTTCAAACATAAATGGTATATCTAAATTTTTTCTACCGGTGCCATAGTAAAAGAAACCATGTTCTTCAGTCTGCAGTCTGAAAAAGGTGCAATTGAATTATTTTTGCAAAATTTATAGATTGCTATTGTTAGAATAGAAAATGTAATTATTACCTATGATAAAATGTCATACCAGGCCAATAAAGGGATCTTAGTATAACAATATCATCCCCATTAACTTGTTGAAGTGTCCAAGTTTTACACAGAGGTATATCACAATCAATAGTATCTAAAAAATCATATGACCAGTTATAATCTTTCCTGGTGAGAAGATTTGTGTTCCACCTATGTTGAGCCGGTCTGTAATGTTGAAAGGAAGACAATTGACAAGCTTCAATACTTGAAAGTCCTTCGAACAAATAGTTAGAAACAATAACATTATCAGGGCGGTGATAAAGAGAACCCCTTGGTATTAAAGCTGCTTCTTCCATAATGGAAGTTACACAAGCGGCTAATCTGTCTTCTTCTGTAAGTTTACAAATTTCACTTACACCTGACTTATCCTGCAATTTGTTATATATGTGAACATATTTTTTTATATGCATTATAGAATTAATACTAATAGACTTACTTCATCAGCAATAATGAATGACCTCATTGCAGGATCTCCTTGAAAAGGATCCGTACAAAGATGAAATAAATTTTTGGCATCAGTAGAAGCATGAGGTAAAAGTCCCCAATCCAAACAATTAGTACTGTAATAGTAGGTTCTATCTGATAATGCATCTTTTCCATATCCAAAAGATATGATATAATCATTTTCTATTCCACAAATTTTACCAACAAGATAAATACTTTTGAAATGATTTTCATTTTGTAAAACATACAATGAATTTTCTAGGACAGTAAAATCCTCATCACTAATTGTAAAACCAGACAGTCTCAGGGTTTCAATGCTTTGGTGTAAGTATTGCAAATTCATTGTAAAAAATACTTGGCAAAAAATTATGTCTGTCAGTATATCAATAAAACAAAATTTTTGGCATACTTTATATATTTAAACATAACTTGGACAATGTATCACAATATAAAATATAAGTAATTTTCTTAACATAAGTTTTTATTCGTTCAGAACATATCATCTTGGCCAAGATCGTTTACGAGATGTAATCCTCTTTCTTTTACAGCTTTCATCTGCAGTTTGTGTTGATCTTGCTTATTTTCCTGCTCCCTTCGTTGAGCATCCAGTATATCATCCACAGAAACTTCAATGAGATTTAAATTTTTCTCTTTTTCTCGGTCTATTTCCCCTAATAAGACTACATTTTCGCCGCGAACTATAAATACTCCTCTAGGTATATCTCCATATTCTTTTCCTACATGAATCCTTTCTATAGTTCGATGAAGAACTAAATTAGCAAATTGATCTACGCTCCTCAAGTATCCAATCAATGTTCTTCCATCTCTAAGTAGAACCATGAGCTTTTTATCAAGTTCATCTAGTAAGTGAGCAGTACCGTGCAATGGATTATTCATTGTTTTTATTTTATGTGATCCAAAATTGAATGTATATGATTTAAAAATGTATGCAATATTTAGGTTCAGTTTTACAAATTGTAACATACATAATATAAATACAACAGTTGGTCAATGTTATAATTCAAATATAACCAAAAAACTATAATATCGTTGTTTATCGGACCAACTCTTCTATAAGCAATTAACGAAAAAAAACAAATGCTTGCAATAATTTTGTACGTTTAACAATTATTTATTGAAATTATATATTATATCTTTACTAAAATGTTTGTCTCATTTTTCTCATCAAATTTTGACAACCGATATTTAAGTGTTGGCAATAATGGGTAGGATTAGGTGTTGGTACCAATGGTACCAACGTTGTTTTCCATATCCATAGACCGACCGTTTACGACACCGATATCGTTTACGACATAAGTCATTTTATCTATGGTACCGGGTGTCACTTATGTTTGTTAGAAAAACTAGCGTCGTATGTGATTTCGTGTTTTTCACTTATTTCAGACGTGCACAGTGAAAAAACATTCATATTGTGTCACTTGCGTGTGTTTTATTTTATTGTCGCAAAGTATTTTTAATAATTTTACCAATATGATGGCTTTTGGGCCTAAAAAGGACGGCAGCCCTAATGCCGAATTCTTCAGCTCTCCAGAAACTCTAACTCATTTTGAGGGAATTCGTTTGTGGATACAAAAACATTGTAAAAAGGTATATTTATTAACATAAAAACAAATTTGATAGGATCAATCTGTACTGTTATTTGTATCTTGTAATTGTTTTGCAGTATGTACAAACTGACCCACCAACTAAAGAAAGTCTTTCGTCTTTAATTATACAACTATTACAATTTCAAGAAACTAAACTGGGTAAAAATGCAGTAGATCCTCCAATGACAAGATTACCAGTATGTATATATTTAATAATATAAATCATGCGAACAATAAAAAGATTATTAATTTTTATTTTGCTTCAGATAAAGTAATTATAAGAATATTTTTAATCAACTTTGATATGATTCTATGTCATCATTGTATTTTGATATTTTATTGTAACGTTTATTGTCGAAATCTAATATTAAGGAATCTTACTTAGATGAGATTGTTTCTTGACTTCAAACCGGGCGGGTCATTATGCGTTATTCTAGCAGCTATGTATAGATTTAAATTAGAGCAGAGATGGAGAAAATTTGACTTTCAGATTGGGAAAGTGAGTCGATTATTTTACTATCAGTTTGCAAAATCGTTTTATAGTTGTAACTGCCTAACATATGCAAATTTTTAATATTTGAGTTAGAATCCTTCCCGAAAAGATATAAATGTCAATATGTTGATGGAAATTGAAGCCGCATTGTTAGAAGCAGAATGCCTACGTTTACCAGCAATTTATATTCGTTCAGATGTGGATAAACAGTTAGTAAACAAAATAAAGGATCTGGTTACCAGTCATCAAGGAGAGATTGTAGGTAAGTTGATCAGATTAAATCAAATTAAGATATGTAATGTTATCCTGTTGAATAAATGTTAAATGCAGATGATGAAGAAGAAGCAACACACATTATCTACCCCACTGTTGATCCTTTAGAGGAAGAGTTTGCCAGACCAGTATTGAGAAGAGAGAAGATGACCTTGATGCACTGGTATTATTTTCCAGATTCTAGAGATTCCTGGATCAACATTGATATACCTGTAAGAATGCGCACATAATAAAATTTTCATTATGACATTACAAATATAAATAATCTGGCAGATGGAAAATCCAGAATCTCCAAGCAATAGAAGAAACGTTTGGCGCGTATCTGCAACATGGGTCTTAGATCTGGAGCAGTACAATGAGTGGATGACAGAGGAAGACTATGAAGTTGATGAAAATGGAAAAAAGAAGGTACATCCAGCCAGATTATCTGTGGAAGATATAATGCAACCTCCTGACGAGAAAAAGAAATCTAAGACTAAACGACGCAAGTCACCCTCACCACCGCCTAAAGCTGCAAAACGAAAAAGGTTTTACTATGAAACCCCTATTTAAATATGGCAATTTTATTTATAATTGCATTTTTCTTATAATAGTCTTTATTTTACGACTATATATTATGACTAATTCAATGTGGTATTTTGACAATAATTTTTTATGCTTTTCTAAACTATTATTTTTTAGTGGAAGGTCTCCGGCTGTAGTGGTTTCAAAAAAACCAAGAGCAGAAGAAGAAGAAGAGAAACCAGATCATACTAAGGATATGGAGGATCCTGTTTCAGAGCCTGTCATAACAGAGGTGAACTATTTTGTGAATTTCTAGTAATACACATGTTTGGATATATAGTTGAATCTTCAAAATGCATATATGTTGTTCTGCTTGACATTGGTATTCAAAATGTAGTTAAAGATAAAATCATTATATGAATAGGTTTCAAAACTTATAACAAGTGGACCTGCAACACCTACAACACCGCTCACAAGTCGCACAAAGGACAGTGACCTTCAACCTATTAAAGGAGGTACTGTGACAGAACTTGAAGAAGACGATAAAGATGATTCCCAGCCAAGCAAAATTAGCGACACCACAACTCAAGTAAGATGAATTTTATGTATATTTGGAAATTCTAAATGCATATATCTTTATTTATTTCAGAAGTGAATAGTAATGGACAGAAAAAAACAATTAGTATATATATATATATATATATATATATATATATATATATATTTTCTTTCTATATTATATGCATTTACACTTTTTCCAGGATTTCATAAGCAAAGATGATATGGAAGATAATGTTACAGAGCAAACACATCAAATAATCATTCCATCATACTCAGCTTGGTTTGATTACAATTCTGTTCACACAGTTGAGAAAAGAGCATTGCCAGAATTTTTCAATGGAAAAAATAAATCCAAGAGTCCAGAAATCTACTTAGCATATCGAAACTTCATGATTGATACATATAGACTTAATCCAACAGAATATTTGACAAGCACTGCTTGCAGAAGAAACCTCGCTGGAGACGTCTGTGCGATTATGAGAGTTCATGCTTTTCTAGAGCAATGGGGCCTAATAAATTATCAGGTGAATACAATAATAATTTTAAAATAATTTGACATAAACTAATGTTCTAAATTAAATGAATAAATTCTCTGAAATAGTAAATTATGTAATATTTCTTATTAAGAAACATGTAAATTAAAATTAGATTGATACTGATTGCCGACCATCATCTATGGGTCCTCCCCCAACATCTCACTTCCATGTGTTAGCGGATACTCCCTCTGGATTACAACCAGTTAATCCATTAAAAACTCAACAACCATCTGCTGCTGCTAAAATTTTGTTAGACATGGATAAAAAGACTCCTGATCAGACTTCTAAATTGGAAGAAGGCACTCCTTCACCTGGTGTAACAGTTAAGTCAGAGAGTGATACGTTTGCTTCAACAGGAGGACAATTTGGCCTTAAGCTTGATCAGTTAGTATTATTTGCTGCATTATTTTTCAAATTAACATATTAAAATTAAAACAATATTTTTTATTTTGTTAGGTATGCTAAAAAACCATTAGCAATGAGGAACAAACAGGCAGCTGGATTGTCTAGAGAGTGGACTGATCAGGAAACTCTTTTACTACTTGAAGGTTTAGAAATGTATAAAGATGATTGGAACAAAGTGTGTGAACATGTTGGTTCTCGAACTCAAGATGAATGCATTTTACATTTTCTGCGATTGCCCATTGAGGATCCATATTTAGAAGATGCAGAAGCTGGAGGAGCATTAGGTATTTATTCATAAAATGAAATTTTCTACTAAATATTGCTCCATATTGATATTACCATAAAAAAAATACCAATGCCTTTATCAAATATTAAGTTTATGCCATTTTGTTGTCTACATATCATATTATTACAGGTCCATTAGCTTATCAACCCATACCATTCAGTAAAGCAGGCAACCCCATAATGTCAACTGTTGCATTTTTGGCATCAGTTGTAGATCCACGGGTGGCTGCTTCAGCAGCTAAGGCTGCAATGGAGGAATTTGCTAGTATAAAGGTATATAGAGATATTAAATTTAAAAATGTTTGGTATTTTATTTATCAATTAGAACTTAACTGGAGAAAAGTAGTGCAGAACCATGCTTTAAACTATATGTTTTTGATTTATGCAATTATCATCAATTATCAAGGATGAAGTACCTGCTGCACTGATGGATGCTCATATGAAAAATGTAGAAAGCTCTAGTGTTGACGGCAAGTACGATCCTAGTGCTGGTTTAGCCCAAAGTGGAATAGCAGGCACTACAGTAGAAAAAGAAAGCAGTTCTGAAGACAACAAAGAAAATGATAAAGACAAAGAAAATAATGCAAATGAGAAAGTTAAGGATAAGAATGATAAGTCTGAAGACATGGAAATAGATAAACCAGTAGATGAAAAAGAAAAAACTGAAGCTGAGACTAAGGACTCAACTAAAAATGAAGGTAATATTTAATTTAAATAAGAAAAAAAAATTAATTAATCAATTAATTAGTAACTATTTAATTGGTGAGTTCTTAATTTCACGAAGGAGAAGCTTGTTTTTGCCAGAACCCATAGAAATGTTAATAAAATTTGTACTTATTATTAAAATTTCTATGAAATATCTGATGCACTTTGATGTGCATATATCCAATGATAATTTTTGAATGCCAAATGGCATTTTTTTATGCTGTCTCTGAAATTGATATACCGGCCCTAATGCTTAATATTTTACAAAATAATTTGGGTGATAATTATACAAAATAATTAAGGCAATAAGTTCATGCCCTAAACAGTGCTGTGAAAATTATATAACTTAATTAAAATTTGGAAAAATAGGTTGCAATTCAATGGCATGCAAGCATGTGTTTGTGCACTATACTTAATATAATATAATTACAGATATTGCAAATGTGTTTGAGATGTCAATTGTAAATCGTATGTTTAGATTTAAGTGAAAGCGAAAACTTTACTTCTGAAATATACAGTTAAAAATTGTTTCTAAATTTCTAAATCTTAGTTTCGTTTTATTAAGTCAATTAGTACACCTATTGCAAAGATTCTGCAACTTTCTTTAAGGTAGAATGGCACTTTTGACTAGTTCATCCATTGATTTCTTACTGGTTAAGTCAATTGTTTACACATATCAGGGATCATATATCTTATTTTAAGAGGCAAAATGCTACTTGCAACTAGTTACATATTATTTCAATATATATTTTTTTTTTATTTGGAATGTTACTGTAATACATGAGGTAATGATATAAAATAAAACATTCAATTTGTGAAATATCAATGATAAAATCGATTTGTTCTTATTACAGGTCCAGCTCAAGTAACTGTGGTTAGCAAGGATAGCAGCTTGCAGAGTGCTGCAGCAGCGGCTCTCGCCTCTGCCGCAGTTAAAGCAAAGCATTTAGCTGCTGTAGAAGAACGTAAAATTAAATCCTTGGTAGCTCTTTTAGTAGAAACACAAATGAAGAAACTTGAAATAAAATTGAGGCATTTTGAAGAATTAGAAACAACTATGGAACGAGAGAGAGAAGGTTCGTTTTGCATCAATTTGTATTGCGTAAATTTGTTTTGATGCTTTTCTGATATCATGTTGACATGAAGGAATGAATTGTGTGGCAGACATAAAATTAATGTATATTCTAATATTTTTTTTTGCTACCACAGGTTTGGAATACCAAAGGCAACAGTTAATAACTGAACGACAACAATTTCACTTAGAACAACTTAAAGCAGCAGAATTTAGAGCTCGACAACAGGCACACCACAGATTACAACAAGAACAGCAACAAAATCAGTCATGGCTAACACAGAATCAAACACTGCATTCAGGTAATTTCATTCTGTTCCTTATTTAAAATTATATTTTTCAAGTGATATCTATTAATATATTATTTAAATTATATTGATATAATACATTATATATTACATTGATATATTACATTATATATTACATTGATATATTTGAATTATTTCACATAGTCTGGTGTTTAATACTTTATTCAGTATACTTCTTATCCAAACTGAAAGATTAATGAAAGTTAAAGAATTTGCATAAAAGTATGAACTCGTTTATAATGTTGATCTTTTCTATTAGGAAATAATACTACTTCATTACAAAGTAGTAATTGTCCACCGCAAGGAGGTGATGGAAACTCTGCTGGAACGCCCCCTTCACCTCAAGCTGCTGTGGTTCAATCACCGCAAGCTCAAGCTTAATATAATTTCTTTCATATGAAAATATACCATAGTTTTTACTTAAACATCTGTGAATATTTGAAATAGATAGATATAAATCATAAATTTAATTTTGTTGAATTTATCAAAATTAAATTTATTTATTTAATGTTTGAATAATAAATTTTGTGAAAAATTTATATCAAATTTCAAAAGTTTTGCATCCAAAACTTTTTCATAAACACAAATTATCAACATTCAACAAAGTATAATCCATGAGCAGTTTTCTTGAAATAATTTTAAGATACATGTAGCAATCATAATTTAATTATACATCATAAAAGCACTGTAAAAATATAATTAAACAACAATTAATTATACCTTATTATTCTAGAATCAAATCTATGCTCCACATGTTTGCAGAATAATTCATGATTGAGTCAGATTTTCTACTATACAGGTGAACGTAGGGCATACTATCAGTATGTACATTTTCTAGCTTTAAGGTTTTAATACAATACAGTGAAATATCTATACAGATAACTTACACACAATCTTTAATTATCTAGTTTCTGTTAATAATTAAATTTGAAATACATTTTAAATTGTTGAACAATTTAATATCTGAAATTTCTATGAGACTTTTTTACATTCAGTTCAAGTTAAATTAATTTTATATATAATACTATAAATTATTACAAAGTTCATAAAATTTTCATTATATACATTTAGTTAAGAAAAAGGCAAATAATTTTTGGAAAATATCTAATATCCCACTGTTGTAGAGGATTTTGTTGATACTAAAAATTATGTTACCAGTCTAAAAATATATAGGTTTTACTGTTCAACTTTTGTTGATAATTTATTAAAATAATTAATCAGTCTGTGCTGAGCTTGAACAAGTTTCTTTTTCTTAATAATAAATTTCCATATTAAGTGACAGATTTAAAGTTTGTGTTTTTTATGAAAATATGATTTAGGTGAGTACCAAATAATGTTTTATATTTTAAATTTTAGGTAAAGTGGTCTATGTTTATATATTCATGCATATTTTGACAAACAGTTGGGTGTAATTTTAAATAAATAGCTGTTAAATATATTTTCAACACTTATAGATGTTAACTTAGTTATTGATTCAATGCTCTTCAGGATGTAGTGTTTGCACAAGAATGTGGTAATTGAGATATGTTAGATTTTAGTATGCCTACTTTGAAGTCACGAAAAAATAATATTAATTAAATATTTAACTTAACTTAAAAATGGACATTGTATTCATTAATAAATTTATTTATTATTTTACATTAATATTAAGATTTGTGGTATGAGGAAATAAACTTGCGATGTTTGATTTTAAAGATCTCTCTATGATCTTTTTGTATATCAATTTAAATTTTATAATATGAACAACATGTACGATTAAGAATGACTTAAAACTTTGAATAAAAATAAAAAATAAAATTGTTGTTTTTTAAAATATCTTAGATACAAGTTTATATATGAAAAAACTAGAGAAAGTTTGTATATTTAAAAATGTAATTATATTTAAAAATTCTATTTTAATTTTCTAGATATCACTTCAAAACCAAAATGCCTCTGTAAAAGAAATTATATACTTTTATAGTATTCGAAAATTTATTAATTTATTTATTTTACACCAAATGTATTTAATGTAATGATTATTTAAATGAAATATGTTTATTTGTGTGAATCAATAACTATTGAAATACTTGCTGTGTAAGTTATTAGAGTGCTTATTTAGAAAAATCTAGTATCATTATAGACATTAAGAGATGTTATTCTATTTAATTTATAACGTCTTTATTGTTAAAATAGTCAAAATTAAAAATTCAAACAAACCTTGGTTCCATTTCTCAACAAAAGAGGCGCTCGAGTTACTGCAACGATCGAACCATGATCGAACGAACGTGCACGTTCCTTAGTCGCTCATCTACAAGTTTTTTTTTCGCACATTTATGGTTTATGCCAATCTGGGATGTCTTTGCAAAAGTTCATTTTCTCATTGGAATTGTTTGAAGACAACATCCTGGAACACAAAGTCCTCTTTCCATTTGTTGTCTGGAGAGAACCTACAAGAATCATTTGGTATGTTGTACTTGTGCTAATTAAGTTTCGCTTTAAGGATTCATTCGGATTTCATTTCGTATTCGACAGTGTTGCGTCATACGCTCAATATGACACTTGGATTTTTACGATTTTATTGAATCTTCTGCAAGTTGAAACAGTTCCCGATTTGTTGTTTTACTCGATTTATGTAGTTTGTTCAGGTCGTATTAATATCTAAGAGCATGCTGGATACATTAAATCTCATAATTATAATTTACGTCATGTAGTGTCTACTTTAAAATAAAACTATTTCGTTGCCTAAGCAAGAGTTTACAATTGAAAGGCTGACCTACCTTGTGCAACATCATCGAGAAGTGATTGTGATTTCTAAAGACTTACGGATTTTTTTTTTTAATTCTTTATTCTTTATGTAATATCTATTAAATACTATTTTTCAAAGATTTTGCTCAAATTGGAAAGCACCAAGTCAAAGTAAACATGAACAACGGACAGTTTTATCATCGGGAGACTTGTTAATTTTGCGAGTATATCTGTATATATTTAAGTGTTATTTAAATCATCACTATGCGCTGACTCACTACAATTTATAGATCAGAAGAATTGTGTATATTGGGCCACAATCATTATGCCATCAATAGTATTTTACAACTGCATTGTTCACAAAGACAAATTTGGTGACGTATCATCATTTGATAATGTATCACTAATGATGTTCATAATTCAATACTAATTGCTGTGTTTTACAAATACAGCTAGGTTTGAATTTGTCACTGCCACTGCCACTTACTATTGTAATTTTGTGCAGATTCTTTCAGTTTTTATGTGAACATTGTTCCTGTGACGCACTAATGGTGGTATTTATTGGAATTGCACTTGGCACGAATGTATTTATTAAACAGTGAATTTACACAAGATATTGATTAATAGTTTTTGTTTTTGCTTTATCTTTTACAAATTTACAAAATCATTAAAGCATTGACTTTCCTGATTCAAATGACAACTATTGCATGTTTTGCATCCATTGTTCTAGTATTTAATAATACTAACAAATACTAACACATACTAATCCAGTTAACATATTAAAAAATGTGGTTGTTTGAATCATTTAAGATTAGGCAATGTGGATTTGATGTATTGGTACATTTTGATTTTCACTGTTTTCAATTCATGTAAATGCATTTCATATAAACCCAAGTGCAATTCTTAAACAATAAATTTCTACATTATATTTTTGGGCATCAAGATATATTATTTCAAGCAATTTGAAGAGAGTAGAATAGTCGAGTATTGAGTGAAAATTCAATTTACGTTCAATTTATTTTATTGATCAATTCTTTATTTATTCTTCACTAAATTTACTGATTTGTAAACTTATAATTTGTTTTTTAGGCATATTTAATTCAGCCACTGTGATTATTACATCATAATCAACTGGAATGATACAATGGAAATATTTGGATAGCATTCAAAGTATGAATAACTCAAATATTTAGCAATCATAGACATTTTTATGACCACAGAAACAATTTGAAAACCTATGAATAAATGCTTTTTGAAGAGGACTAAGAAGTTTGATAAATTTAAATTTACTGTAACAATTGAATTGCATATTGGTCAGCCTCATATAATAGTGGTAAACTAGATAAAAAAAAAATTAATTATTGCAATAATTAGCTTATTATTTTTATTTAATTTTTATTTCTGCATATATTCTTTCTGTATAACTAGCCTAACAATAAGTTTTGATCACTCAGTTTCTAAACCTCTTTGCATTGATAAATTTTTTACTATAGATTTTAGATGGATTAAGTATTCAAACTCCACACAAAATTCTTCACGAGCGATCTTTTGGTAATGCCTCAACTGTTTTATGAATTCTATATATAACATCAATGTATGCATTACTAATATCTTCTTATTTATTTCAGATGCTGGTCCTTCAACATTCAATTCAAGAATTGAATAATCTTCGTACCGACTGCATTACCAAACATTTCTCCATATTTTGTCATGAAGTTTGTCTATGCATATAACTGTTTAAATACACTTTAGAGCCTGTAACTTTTACACCAGGAATCGGTTCACATTTTATGAAGTATATGTTAATCCATATGTTTATAACATGTTTATTTTTTTCCAGGTCCTTTCAACTACCGCTGTTCTGCACATTGACTCCTTTGTCAAGAATCGCCCTGAAAATATTTTATGAAAATACGTTTTTATCCATAATCAGTATAAATGTGAACATTAATAACATATGTTTATTTTTTTCAGGTCCTTTCAATTACCACTGCTCTGCACACTGACTTTTCTTCACCAGGAATCGCTCTCAAAATATTTTATGAAGTATGTTCATTATCCATAATCAGTATAAATGCAAACATTCCTAAAATGATTCTTTTTTTTTCAGGTCCTTTCAACTACTGCTGCTCTGCACACTGATTCCTTCGCCAGTGATCTTTCCAGAAACATCTTACCATGTATGTGTTTATCCATATCAGTATGAATGCAAACATTCCTAAAATGATTCTTTTTTTTCCAGGTTCATTCAACTACTGCTGCTCTGCACACTGACTCCTTCAACAGGAATCTTTCCAGAAACATTTCACCAGGTATGTGTTTATCCATACCAGTTTGAATGCAAACATTCCTAAAATGATTCTTTTTTTTTCAGGTCCTTTCAACTACTGCTGCTCTGCACACTGATTCTTTCGCCAGTGATCTTTCCAGAAACATCTTACCATGTATGTGTTAATCCATATCAGTCTGAATGCAAACATTCCTAAAATAATTCTTTTTTTTTTAGGTTCATTCAACTACTGCTGCTCTGCACACTGACTCATTCAACAGGAATCTTTCCAGAAACATTTCACCAGGTATGTGTTTATCCATACCAGTCTGAATGCAAACATTCCTAAAATAATTCTTTTTTTTCAGGTCCTTTCAACTACTGCTGCTCTGCACACTGATTCCTTTGCCAGTGATCTTTCCAGAAACATTTCACCAGGTATGTGTTTATCCATACCAATCTGAATGCAAACATTCCTAAATGATTTTTTTTTCAGGTCCTTTCAACTACTGCTGCTCTGCACACTGACTCCTTCACCAGGGATCGCTCTGAAAATATTTTATGAAGTACGTTTTTATCCATAATCAGTATAAATGTGAACATTAATATCATGTTTATTTTTTTTCCAGGTCCTTTCAACTACCACTGTTCTGCACCTTCACCAGGAATTTTTCCAGAAATATTTTACCAGGTATGTGTTTATCCATACCAGTATAAATGCAAACATTTTAGAAATGTTTCTTTTTTTTTTGCAGATCTTCTCAATCCAACTATTACTGCCCTGAAGCTCTAACATCAATGAGTTTAAAATACTCATTCAAATGAATGACTCGCAAGTGGTTTTTTTTTAATAACTTCCTATAATTATGCATGATTAACTTAACTCTTATTAACTCAATAACATGACTAACCTCACTAACTTAATCAGTTATTATAAATACCACTTGTTGAGTTTTACTATGAAGGTTTTACTGAGTTTGCTTGGAAGACGGGCTGAACGATTAATCATGTAATTTATTATTATGGTATATTTTATGAGGCTTGTTACAAATTCATTGTTTTTTTTATAGGGAAAACGACAACTTGAAGCCAAGTGGTCTTCAACTCTCAAATTTCTCATTAGTGAGAACAATCATTTGATCTACTAATTATGCTGTCCGTCCGTCCGTCTTTGCACCAAAGAAGATGCCTACTGTGATATATTGAGTAGTTAAGTGCATAAATGTTAATGAAATAATGAATAAATTTATTGTATTTAATTTAATTTGTTGTTTTAATTTTATTATGAGCCATTTTATGGCCAAATTACATTATGCTGTAACGTAAATTACACAGATATTTAAACATATCCGAATTTTAAAAATTTGTGTTATTAATGATACTTATTGAGTGTACTTGTATGTGAAGAAAATTGTGTAAAACAGTTTATTTGTTTACTGCTTGGGTGTGTTGAAATCTTGGTCAACTTCCTTATACTTTTGCTTTGTCTCGGCCAAAGTCTGCATCATTGCTTTGATTTGTTGTACTATTATACACTTGGCTCTCTTGATAATATTGAGAGAATATGCCTACTGTGATCTATTGAATAGTTAAGTGCTTAGATGTTAATTAAATAATGAATAAATATATTATATTTAATTCAATTTATTGTTTTAATTTTATGCTGTAACATAAATTACAAAGATATTTAAACATATCTGAATTTTAAAAAAATCTTGTGTTATTAATGATACTTATTGGGTGTACTTTTTAATGTAGACAATTGTGTAAAACAGTTTGTTTACTGCTTGGGTGTCTTGAAATCTTAGGCAATTTTCATATACCTTTGCTTTGTATCGGTCGAAGTCTGCGTCATTGCTTTGACTTGTAGAACTATACACTTGGCTCTCTTAATAACATTGAATTGACTGAAAAATGTAGTTTTTTTTTGACATGTTTAAATTGACTGTAAAGCGTAAACTATTCACTTAGCATTTTTGCAATCCCTTGTGTTGGAGTGCCTTAAACATTTATTGTGTATATATAATATTCGTTATATGTTTTCTATTACCCCTTCAAATGATGTACTTTTCTTAACTGTAAATATAACTTAATTTTATATCATACTGTGTTAATACTATTATATATACTAAAATATATAATTATACTATTACATAAATGATAATGTGATTGATTCATTTTCATTCTTGTTATTGTAATAATAAATAAATATAATTGTATTATTAAATACTGTGATATATTGATTGGAAGTTTTGAATAAAACCAACTAAACTTTACTTGGAGTGTTTCATTTCACACCATTTTCAGTGATATGTATATATATTAGAAACACACCGTATGGGTACAGGTATTATAAACATAAGCATATTTGCTTATGTTTATATAAACTTTAATATACTCATTAATTCGTTCTTCGACGAGGATGATCAATAAAGTTAATGTAGTTATAACTTTGGCCTACTGTTATTCATAATATACTACTATAATCTATATACTATTATTCAAAGTGTTAACTAGTTCATTTTAATTAATATACTTCAAATATTGGTCAGTTTTACTTAACTTTGGACTTGTACAATAAAAATTAAGTTTACAACTATGTTCTTTTCCTTAACTTTGGACTTGTACAATGAAAATGAAGTTTTCAACTATGTTCTTCTTGCACAATGACATCCTCATTAATATTGAATATATCTTTACGTTTAATTAACGTAATTATTAACATCAATTACATTATTATTCCTATTATCTCCACGCTACTATCTCTTTTCTTACTTTACACTACCTTACCTAATGCTTATCTACGTTAAGAACTGATACTTTTACTTTGCTTATCTTACCACGTCTCGAACCTGCTACCCCGACCTCTCCAGTGACTCCCACCTACTAACGCGCGACGCCACGACGATCACATTATTAAATCCTTACAAAGTAAGTGATATTGTATATTTTCAACGAAAAAAAACTAACAGGTCATATGGCCAAAAAAAAGTTGAGTTGGTATCGCCTCCGTTGGCGTAATTGGTAGAGTGATGGCTTCGTACCAAAAAGGTACCGAGTTCGAATCATACCTCAGGACAAAAAAGAGTATTATTCGCGTTGTGGTATTTATTTAGTGTTGAATAACACAAAATTAATATTTAGATATAACAAACTAACAGGTCATGAGGCCGAAAAAAAGCAGAATCGATGTGGCCTGTGTTGGCGTATTGCTAGCGTGCTAGCTTCATGTCAACAGGGTACCGAGTTCGATTCATACCTCCGGACACAAAACGCAAAATAGCGTGACTGTTGACGCTGTGGAACGAGGTATGCACGGAATCACATCCGTTCGAATTTGAGACCCCTGGCAGGTATGCTCCCCTCGATCTCGATTGAGAGGAGAGATACGCGCGAGAATCCCGCAACATCCCCTAATGAACCCCGCAGCAGCCCCGAAAAGGGGCGAGGGGGGATTATAGGGGGGTGTGGGGTTCACGAACCCGCGACCCTGTGGTCCAACCCTCCCGAAAAAGGGAGAGGGGGGACTATAGGGGGGTGAGGGTTCCGCGCGACGACCATCACTGGGTCGCGCCGGTTGAAAAGCCGGGTGCATCACAGGGTGGGTCGGTGAGCGAGTCTCCGGAGCACCCTCGAGTGCGATGATGGGGATGTGGGGTGAGGGAAATGCAGTTGCGAGGGAAAAAGGGGTGGAAAGATATGAGGAGGGAGAGATATAGGGGTGGTGGGAGTGATAGGAGGGGTGAGATAAGGGGGGAGAGAGATAAGGGGGGGAGAGAGATAGGGGGAGAGAGATAAGGGGGGGAGAGTGATAAGGGGAGGGAGAATGAGAGGGGGAGAGAGATGAGGGGAGGGATGAGAGAGGGAGAGAGAGAGATAAGGGGAGGGGACAAGAGACGGAAGGAAGGATGGATGAGGGAAGGAAGCGACAGGGGAGGACTGATAACACCCGCGGACGTGTTATGTCCGCCCGTCCGTGTCACACTGTGTTATGTCCGCGCACGTCGCATCCATCCGTCCCCCGGTCTTTCTCCCCCTCTCTCATCCCTCCCCTCATCTCTCTCCCCCTCTCATTCTCCCTCCCTTATCTCTCTCCCCCCCTTATCTCTCTCCCCCCTTATCTCTCTCCCCCCTTATCTCAGCCCTCCTATCTCTCCCACCACCCCTATATCTCTCTCCCTCCTCATATCTTTCCACCCCTTTTTCCCTCGCAACTGCATTTCCCTCACCCCACATCCCCATCATCGCACTCGAGGGTGCTCCGGAGACTCGCTCACCGACCCACCCTGTGATGCACCCGGCTTTTCAACCGGCGCGACCCAGTGATGGTCGTCGCGCGGAACCCTCACCCCCCTATAGTCCCCCCTCTCCCTTTTTCGGGAGGGTTGGACCACAGGGTCGCGGGTTCGTGAACCCCACACCCCCCTATAATCCCCCCTCGCCCCTTTTCGGGGCTGCTGCGGGGTTCATTAGGGGATGTTGCGGGATTCTCGCGCGTATCTCTCCTCTCAATCGAGATCGAGGGGAGCATACCTGCCAGGGGTCTCAAATTCGAACGGATGTGATTCCGTGCATACCTCGTTCCACAGCGTCAACAGTCACGCTATTTTGCGTTTTGTGTCCGGAGGTATGAATCGAACTCGGTACCCTGTTGACATGAAGCTAGCACGCTAGCAATACGCCAACACAGGCCACATCGATTCTGCTTTTTTTCGGCCTCATGACCTGTTAGTTTATTAAATCCAAATTTTAACTTTGTGCTATCTTACAATAAATAATAAATTCCACGCTTTCCATTTTTTTTCCCGAGGTATGGTTCGAACTCGGCACTCTTTGGGTACGAATCCGTCGCTCTACCAATTACGCCAGCACAGCACACATCGATTCTGCTTTCTTTCGACCTCATGACTTGTTAGTTTGTTATATCTAAATATTAATTTTGTGTTATTCAACACTAAATAAATACCACAACGCGAACAATACTCTTTTTTGTCCTGAGGTATGATTCGAACTCGGTACCTTTTTGGTACGAAGCCATCACTCTACCAATTACGCCAACGGAGGCGATACCAACTCAACTTTTTTTTGGCCATATGACCTGTTAGTTTTTTTTCGTTGAAAATATACAATATCACTTACTTTGTAAGGATTTAATAATGTGATCGTCGTGGCGTCGCGCGTTAGGAGGTGGGAGTCACTGGAGAGGTCGGGGTAGCAGGTTCGAGACGTGGTAAGATAAGCAAAGTAAAAGTATCAGTTCTTAACGTAGATAAGCATTAGGTAAGGTAGTGTAAAGTAAGAAAAGAGATAGTGGCGTGGAGATAATAGGAATATTAATGTAATTGATGTTAATAATTACGTTAATTAAACGTAAAGATATATTCAATATTAATGAGGATGTCATTGTGCAAGAAGAACATAGTTGAAAACTTCATTTTCATTGTACAAGTCCAAAGTTAAGGAAAAGAACATAGTTGTAAACTTAATTTTTATTGTACAAGTCCAAAGTTAAGTAAAACTGACCAATATTTGAAGTATATTAATTAAAATGAACTAGTTAACACTTTGAATAATAGTATATAGATTGTAGTAGTATATTATGAATAACAGTAGGCCAAAGTTATAACTACATTAACTTTATTGATCATCCTCGTCGAAGAACGAATTAATGAGTATATTAAAGTTTATATAAACATAAGCAAATATGCTTATGTTTATAATACCTGTACCCACCCATACGGTGTGTTTCTAATATATATACATATCACTGAAAATGGTGTGAAATGAAACACTCCAAGTAAAGTTTAGTTGGTTTTATTCAAAACTTCCAATCAATATATCACAGTATTTAATAATACAATTATATTTATTTATTATTACAATAACAAGAATGAAAATGAATCAATCACATTATCATTTATGTAATTAAAAAGTACACCCAATAAGTATCATTAATAACACAAGATTTTTTTAAAATTCAGATATGTTTAAATATCTTTGTAATTTATGTTACAGCATAAAATTAAAACAATAAATTGAATTAAATATAATATATTTATTCATTATTTAATTAACATCTAAGCACTTAACTATTCAATAGATCACAGTAGGCATATTCTCTCAATATTATCAAGAGAGCCAAGTGTATAATAGTACAACAAATCAAAGCAATGATGCAGACTTTGGCCGAGACAAAGCAAAAGTATAAGGAAGTTGACCAAGATTTCAACACACCCAAGCAGTAAACAAATAAACTGTTTTACACAATTTTCTTCACATACAAGTACACTCAATAAGTATCATTAATAACACAAATTTTTAAAATTCGGATATGTTTAAATATCTGTGTAATTTACGTTACAGCATAATGTAATTTGGCCATAAAATGGCTCATAATAAAATTAAAACAACAAATTAAATTAAATACAATAAATTTATTCATTATTTCATTAACATTTATGCACTTAACTACTCAATATATCACAGTAGGCATCTTCTTTGGTGCAAAGACGGACGGACGGACAGCATAATTAGTAGATCAAATGATTGTTCTCACTAATGAGAAATTTGAGAGTTGAAGACCACTTGGCTTCAAGTTGTCGTTTTCCCTATAAAAAAAAACAATGAATTTGTAACAAGCCTCATAAAATATACCATAATAATAAATTACATGATTAATCGTTCAGCCCGTCTTCCAAGCAAACTCAGTAAAACCTTCATAGTAAAACTCAACAAGTGGTATTTATAATAACTGATTAAGTTAGTGAGGTTAGTCATGTTATTGAGTTAATAAGAGTTAAGTTAATCATGCATAATTATAGGAAGTTATTAAAAAAAAACCACTTGCGAGTCATTCATTTGAATGAGTATTTTAAACTCATTGATGTTAGAGCTTCAGGGCAGTAATAGTTGGATTGAGAAGATCTGCAAAAAAAAAGAAACATTTCTAAAATGTTTGCATTTATACTGGTATGGATAAACACATACCTGGTAAAATATTTCTGGAAAAATTCCTGGTGAAGGAGTCAGTGTGCAGAACAGTGGTAGTTGAAAGGACCTGGAAAAAAAATAAACATGATATTAATGTTCACATTTATACTGATTATGGATAAAAACGTACTTCATAAAATATTTTCAGAGCGATCCCTGGTGAAGGAGTCAGTGTGCAGAGCAGCAGTAGTTGAAAGGACCTGAAAAAAAAATCATTTAGGAATGTTTGCATTCAGATTGGTATGGATAAACACATACCTGGTGAAATGTTTCTGGAAAGATCACTGGCGAAGGAATCAGTGTGCAGAGCAGCAGTAGTTGAAAGGACCTGAAAAAAAAGAATTATTTTAGGAATGTTTGCATTCAGACTGGTATGGATAAACACATACCTGGTGAAATGTTTCTGGAAAGATCACTGGCGAAGGAATCAGTGTGCAGAGCAGCAGTAGTTGAAAGGACCTGAAAAAAAAGAATTATTTTAGGAATGTTTGCATTCAGACTGATATGGATAAACACATACATGGTAAGATGTTTCTGGAAAGATCACTGGCGAAAGAATCAGTGTGCAGAGCAGCAGTAGTTGAAAGGACCTGAAAAAAAAAGAATCATTTTAGGAATGTTTGCATTCAAACTGGTATGGATAAACACATACCTGGTGAAATGTTTCTGGAAAGATTGCTGGTGAAGGTGTCAGTGTGCAGAGCAGCAGTAGTTGAAAGGACCTGAAAAAAAAGAATTATTTTAGGAATGTTTGCATTCAGACTGGTATGGATAAACACATACCTGGTGAAATTTTTCTGGAAAGATTCCTGTTGAAGGAGTCAGTGTGCAGAGCAGCAGTAGTTGAATAAACCTGGAAAAAAAAGAATCATTTTAGGAATGTTTGCATTCATACTGATATGGATAAACACATACATGGTAAGATGTTTCTGGAAAGATCACTGGCGAAGGAATCAGTGTGCAGAGCAGCAGTAGTTGAAAGGACCTGAAAAAAAAAGAATCATTTTAGGAATGTTTGCATTTATACTGATTATGGATAATGAACATACTTCATAAAATATTTTGAGAGCGATTCCTGGTGAAGAAAAGTCAGTGTGCAGAGCAGTGGTAATTGAAAGGACCTGAAAAAAATAAACATATGTTATTAATGTTCACATTTATACTGATTATGGATAAAAACGTATTTTCATAAAATATTTTCAGGGCGATTCTTGACAAAGGAGTCAATGTGCAGAACAGCGGTAGTTGAAAGGACCTGGAAAAAAATAAACATGTTATAAACATATGGATTAACATATACTTCATAAAATGTGAACCGATTCCTGGTGTAAAAGTTACAGGCTCTAAAGTGTATTTAAACAGTTATATGCATAGACAAACTTCATGACAAAATATGGAGAAATGTTTGGTAATGCAGTGGGTATGAAGATTATTCAATTCTTGAATTGAATGTTGAAGGACCAGCATCTGAAATAAATAAGAAGATATTAGTAATGCATACATTGATGTTATATATAGAATTCATAAAACAGTTGAGGCATTACCAAAAGATCGCTCGTGAAGAATTCTGTGTGGAGTTTGAATACTTAATCCATCTAAAATCTATAGTAAAAAATTTATCAATGCAAAGAGGTTTAGAAACTGAGTGATCAAAACTTATTGTTAGGCTAGTTATACAGAAAGAATATATGCAGAAATAAAAATTAAATAAAAATAATAAGCTAATTATTGCAATAATTAATTTTTTTTTTATCTAGTTTACCACTATTATATGAGGCTGACCAATATGCAATTCAATTGTTACAGTAAATTTAAATTTATCAAACTTCTTAGTCCTCTTCAAAAAGCATTTATTCATAGGTTTTCAAATTGTTTCTGTGGTCATAAAAATGTCTATGATTGCTAAATATTTGAGTTATTCATACTTTGAATGCTATCCAAATATTTCCATTGTATCATTCCAGTTGATTATGATGTAATAATCACAGTGGCTGAATTAAATATGCCTAAAAAACAAATTATAAGTTTACAAATCAGTAAATTTAGTGAAGAATAAATAAAGAATTGATCAATAAAATAAATTGAACGTAAATTGAATTTTCACTCAATACTCGACTATTCTACTCTCTTCAAATTGCTTGAAATAATATATCTTGATGCCCAGAAATATAATGTAGAAATTTATTGTTTAAGAATTGCACTTGGGTTTATATGAAATGCATTTACATGAATTGAAAACAGTGAAAATCAAAATGTACCAATACATCAAATCCACATTGCCTAATCTTAAATGATTCAAACAACCACATTTTTTAATATGTTAACTGGATTAGTATGTGTTAGTATTTGTTAGTATTATTAAATACTAGAACAATGGATGCAAAACATGCAATAGTTGTCATTTGAATCAGGAAAGTCAATGCTTTAATGATTTTGTAAATTTGTAAAAGATAAAGCAAAAACAAAAACTATTAATCAATATCTTGTGTAAATTCACTGTTTAATAAATACATTCGTGCCAAGTGCAATTCCAATAAATACCACCATTAGTGCGTCACAGGAACAATGTTCACATAAAAACTGAAAGAATCTGCACAAAATTACAATAGTAAGTGGCAGTGGCAGTGACAAATTCAAACCTAGCTGTATTTGTAAAACACAGCAATTAGTATTGAATTATGAACATCATTAGTGATACATTATCAAATGATGATACGTCACCAAATTTGTCTTTGTGAACAATGCAGTTGTAAAATACTATTGATGGCATAATGATTGTGGCCCAATATACACAATTCTTCTGATCTATAAATTGTAGTGAGTCAGCGCATAGTGATGATTTAAATAACACTTAAATATATACAGATATACTCGCAAAATTAACAAGTCTCCCGATGATAAAACTGTCCGTTGTTCATGTTTACTTTGACTTGGTGCTTTCCAATTTGAGCAAAATCTTTGAAAAATAGTATTTAATAGATATTACATAAAGAATAAAGAATTAAAAAAAAAAATCCGTAAGTCTTTAGAAATCACAATCACTTCTCGATGATGTTGCACAAGGTAGGTCAGCCTTTCAATTGTAAACTCTTGCTTAGGCAACGAAATAGTTTTATTTTAAAGTAGACACTACATGACGTAAATTATAATTATGAGATTTAATGTATCCAGCATGCTCTTAGATATTAATACGACCTGAACAAACTACATAAATCGAGTAAAACAACAAATCGGGAACTGTTTCAACTTGCAGAAGATTCAATAAAATCGTAAAAATCCAAGTGTCATATTGAGCGTATGACGCAACACTGTCGAATACGAAATGAAATCCGAATGAATCCTTAAAGCGAAACTTAATTAGCACAAGTACAACATACCAAATGATTCTTGTAGGTTCTCTCCAGACAACAAATGGAAAGAGGACTTTGTGTTCCAGGATGTTGTCTTCAAACAATTCCAATGAGAAAATGAACTTTTGCAAAGACATCCCAGATTGGCATAAACCATAAATGTGCGAAAAAAAAACTTGTAGATGAGCGACTAAGGAACGTGCACGTTCGTTCGATCATGGTTCGATCGTTGCAGTAACTCGAGCGCCTCTTTTGTTGAGAAATGGAACCAAGGTTTGTTTGAATTTTTAATTTTGACTATTTTAACAATAAAGACGTTATAAATTAAATAGAATAACATCTCTTAATGTCTATAATGATACTAGATTTTTCTAAATAAGCACTCTAATAACTTACACAGCAAGTATTTCAATAGTTATTGATTCACACAAATAAACATATTTCATTTAAATAATCATTACATTAAATACATTTGGTGTAAAATAAATAAATTAATAAATTTTCGAATACTATAAAAGTATATAATTTCTTTTACAGAGGCATTTTGGTTTTGAAGTGATATCTAGAAAATTAAAATAGAATTTTTAAATATAATTACATTTTTAAATATACAAACTTTCTCTAGTTTTTTCATATATAAACTTGTATCTAAGATATTTTAAAAAACAACAATTTTATTTTTTATTTTTATTCAAAGTTTTAAGTCATTCTTAATCGTACATGTTGTTCATATTATAAAATTTAAATTGATATACAAAAAGATCATAGAGAGATCTTTAAAATCAAACATCGCAAGTTTATTTCCTCATAACACAAATCTTAATATTAATGTAAAATAATAAATAAATTTATTAATGAATACAATGTCCATTTTTAAGTTAAGTTAAATATTTAATTAATATTATTTTTTCGTGACTTCAAAGTAGGCATACTAAAATCTAACATATCTCAATTACCACATTCTTGTGCAAACACTACATCCTGAAGAGCATTGAATCAATAACTAAGTTAACATCTATAAGTGTTGAAAATATATTTAACAGCTATTTATTTAAAATTACACCCAACTGTTTGTCAAAATATGCATGAATATATAAACATAGACCACTTTACCTAAAATTTGAAATATAAAACATTATTTGGTACTCACCTAAATCATATTTTCATAAAAAACACAAACTTTAAATCTGTCACTTAATATGGAAATTTATTATTAAGAAAAAGAAACTTGTTCAAGCTCAGCACAGACTGATTAATTATTTTAATAAATTATCAACAAAAGTTGAACAGTAAAACCTATATATTTTTAGACTGGTAACATAATTTTTAGTATCAACAAAATCCTTTTCCAAGCAAACGTACATCAGCAACAGCGGTGTACTAGATTTGCCTTTTTCTTAACTTAGGTATTTTAGAAAAAAAAATTATGTTTATTTGGAGATTCAAACTATGTTGGACAATGGACAGTGGTTACTACGACTCAACCATTTCGGCCATGAAATGTGCTTTTGTTGTTAACACATTTATTTTATATTTGATTGTCTATTTCACCACTACTCTGGCTCTATGGACCGCGATCAAGATATTTAAGTTTATTTCATTAAATTACATAGTTTTTATAACAATATTTTTTTTTGGCATTATTAAGTGGATATTCAAAATTGTATAGATTCTAATTAGTTGTACTAGCCTTACACTTTAGAAATAAAGATATTTTAAACAGCATGTTGCTGATTGTCTGGTGAAATATCTTCAACAATATTATTAAGTACAAGTAAATTAAAATTGTTATTCATTTTGTGGGAAATCTTTAGCATTTTGTACACAAAATATACTTATTTTCTTTTAATGTAAAGAAGATCAAAACATTATTCAATCTTAATCAACTTAAATATAAACACCTTAGTCCATAATACTAAATTTATTATATCTTACAAAACTTAATACATGTTTATAAAAATAAATTTGCAATGTGACCTTTGCTCACAATGATAATTTCAATAAATACAAAATTCAACAATACAAACCCTCATTCCCACTGTATATAAAAATTAGTAATTTTAATCATTCAAATCCTAGATTTTGTCCCACTGGTTCCACTTTTTACATCAAACAATCTTCTGACAAAATACACCTAAAAATTAAGTTTTTTGATAAACAAGATCAAACAGTTAAATTTTCATACATAAATTCAAATAATTTTTATGTAATTGAATTAGATTTCATTCTAATTAGCTGATGAGTGAATTACCTGAACATAAGTAGTAAATGCAATAACAAGTATTTGGGCAATTGACCAGTTCATAACATAAGAATTATTTGCTTCTAATATATTGTAATCTCTTGCTTCCCTACCCCGACTGTAATACTGATACTGCAACATCTCATTGATATTTCTTTCAACTGTTTTAATAGTGGACTGTAAACAAATAATAACCGTAAATGTTAAAAAAAACTTGAATAACAGTTATGATATAGCACATTGTTTTTTAATTGTATCTATAAATAGTGGCTATATTATTAAACATTCAACTCACTGTAAAATTATTCATATTTAAATTCAATTCTTCGACTTCTTTAGTAAATTTGTCCCACTGATCATACTGTATGACAGTGATATATAAATTAACAAGCTTGCTCGCAAATCTTGAGAACTGATTGTCTATGCATACAGAATAATAACCACCAGTTGATTTCTGATCATTATAATCAGAATTAGCCTGCCATTGATAAGGATGAACTATTTGGCCACTTGGATGGCGAACTGCAAAGCCTGCCATACCATCTCCACCTCTAAGGACCTGAAACCATTGTTTGTTTTTACATTTTCTCAGCAAATATAAGCTTCCAAGAAATGGTTCATGCTTTAGAATAAATCTAAACGTTATATGAACGACATACCTACTTGAAAACTAACATAAAATGTAGCGCCAGGTTGAACATATTGGTAATAACAATCTTCTTTCCCAGCATCTATATGCACTTTATAATCCATCGCCACCGCAGGTAAATTTTCGTACCAGGGTACTGTTTGAGTTTGATTTAAGTGTAGGCATATTTGAATAATATATAAAAATAACAATATCTTCAGAGGTGTACACGTATCAACACACGCCATTTTTCCCAAGTAACGTGTCGGTGTCAACGTCAACTGCCACAAGCGAAACCTTACTTACTTGTTTTACCTTGTATTGTAAGTCATCATATGATCATACATTATTATAGTATTATACATTATTATATTGTCTAGGTGATCATAACAGAACAGAGATTGAACCCTAGACAATATTGGAATACGATGTGTTCATATTGAACAATGAAAATGCTCCCCTTTTTAATTAAAAAAAAGTCGTAAGCATAGATAAAACCAGCGTTAACTACTGATACGAATGCATGCTTGTATTATTATATTGTCTAGGTTGTATACATTGATGCATAATCAACATGAGATACAGATTTTAGATAAATTTTTCAACTGTTCATTTCAAAAATAAAATTTTCGCTACTATAAAAAAGCAATATAATAGAAATCTTTCAAACATATATCCATTTGTTTCTAAAAATGTATTTTATTTAAATATGGACATCAACTGTAATCAGTAAATTATTCAATTGCCTAGGCAATATTGAAATGTATATGTATATATATATATACATATACATATATATATATATATATATATATATAATATATATATATATAATATATATATATATATATATATATATATATATATAATTCTTATATATATATATATATATATATATATATACATATTATATATAATTCATATATTATATTATATATATATATATATATATATTTCTGATGTATATATTCATATTATTATGTTGCTTAGGTTAGTAGCCACCTATTAATAATGGATTTATATATCAACTATAGAATCTGATTATAATCCCTTAAGCGCGCAACAACAACAAACTTCATCAAGAAGTTAATAAATATAATTAATAACTATTGGATTAATAAAGATCATTACAAATTATGCATACTTTGCACATATCTATTTCTCATCACGATTATTAATAAGATTCTGAAATAATATTATTATAGTTGATTCCAGCAGGTTATGAACAAATATTACTTGTATTTTATTAAAAATAAAATTGAGATAATTATTTTAACTTAACTATCTTCAAAAATGTGACATCATGGACTACAAGAGATATTTCATACTATTAAAATAATGTTTCTTCGAGAAACTATTTAAGATAGTGCATCCACATAACACTGGAAAATAAAATTGTTGAGTGAAATGAAAATTTCACATAATGAAAGAATGATCTGCAACAAAATAAGAAAAGATTATAATTAACAAAAATGTAAGGAAAAAAACCATTTGAGGAAAGTTTCTGTTAGTAACATCAAATGTATTTATAATACTATCACTACTACATATAATAAAATGCAAATGCAAAAATAATTAACATAAAATATCTTTCATATGTTTTCTACCTTACTCAAAAGAAAAGTACATATTATATAATACATATACATGTAAGAGAATAAAACTTACAGATTCAAATAAAATCTATTGTCATATGATCAAAGGTCAAATTAATTTCTATGATCAATCCCTTACTCTTATTTTAATTAATTAATACACATAAAAAAATCAAATAATTTACCACAATACCAAACACTATTGATTGTTGCCACTGTATCGACAACCATTATGTCAAAAACCCGTTTACTAAAACAAACCCAAATTATCTAATTTTGGATAAGTTAATATCGGCGAGGAGTGCCTCTTCTAGCCCTATTCGATGCTCTACCACGTGTGGCCATATTTGCTCTAGTATTAGGTGTTGCTGTTTTATTAGCCACTGAATTTTGATTTTGCTTGTTTGAATTATCTGGGACAGGCGCAGCTGCTACCTCAGTTTTAATATCAGTTTTAGGAACTTCTTTATTATTAGTGGTATTATTTGTTTGCAAGAGCTTTTCATTAGAATCAATGTCTTCGTTCTTTTTTTCTTCTATGCCTAATGTTAAGTAATATATTAATGTAAGCTTGTCACTTGAAAATAAGTAAAATTTATTATCAATAGCAAAGAAGCAATTTCATATATTACCTTCAGCAGCACTTTCTGGCAATTGTGGCTCTATACTATCCATAATTTCCTGTTTCACTTCCTGCTCTTGTTGTTCAACTTTAACATCAGCAGCAGATTCAATATTGTCATTAGACCTTAAACATAATTAAAATAATGAAACTGCAAAATGACTAATATCATACATAAAACCTTTAATAGCAAATTTGTAATTTAAATGTAAACAAGTGGTAGTAAAGCACACACAAATCTCAATAACCCATTCATCATACAAGAGAACACAGGTTTAGTACACAAACATTAATATTTACATTTCTGAAGCATTAATATTTTCATCAACATTGTCTGTTGCCTCCATTTGCTTGTCTTCACTGGTTTCTTCTAATTCATTTGCATTATTCTCCTCTGGCCCTTCTTGTTTAGATTTTTTCTGATATAGTAAATGATTTTATAAGACATAAATACATACTTTATATTTATATTTATATATATATATATATATAAGCATAGTACCTGCTGCGCAGAAGCAACTTGCTTCTTCATGATTTTCATGAAACTTTCATAATGCTTGAGTGATTTCATATGCACAGCTGCAGCCTCAGAAGTTGCCATAAAATGATGGCATATAGTGCAGCTATAACAAGGTATTTCTTTGATAAAACTCATTCCTACTGGAGTTTTTGGATCATATTTGGGAAGATCAGAAAGTGTGCAACCTGGTAAAAGTTACAAATGACAAACAGTTTTAGTCTTTAGTGGTAATTAGAGTAGAAACAAATTTACTCAATTTTTTTTTTGATTAACTAATATTTAATTATAGTTAAAAAATGTATGTACCAGATAAGTCAGTTCCCTCTGCAAAATCTGTAAAATTATCAGGTTTGCTTGTTTTTTCTCCCCCTTCTTCCGAAGTCTCTGCAATTGTTTGCTTTATGACATTTGCATCTTGAACTTTAACCATTGTATATTTTTGCATATCAATTCCTGCATCTTCTCCTTGTTCAACATATTCCTTTAGCTCGTCATCCTCACTGCTTAGCTTGATGATTCCTGAATAATTACAGTATTAGTTAAGCCCATACAAAAATGAAATCATTGATCAGGTGAATGTATCAAAATATTTATTTTCTCACCCAATTCTGAAATTTTCTTGATATGACTTGTTGATAGTAGATGTTCATCCCAATCAATTCGAGTGGGAAACTCTTGATCACAGGAGATACATTTAGGATGCAAGAATCTTTTTAGACGCAAATGTCCTGATGAGTGACGATGCAATGTAAGAGTTGTATTTGTAAATTCAGTGTCACACATAGCACAAAACACTGGCATGGATTGTTTGTTCACATTTTGACCTGCAGATTTTTTTTTGCTATTATAGAATCAATAATAACTTCATACAATAAGGTTACATACTAACTTCAAATTGAATTGAACATTTTTAGATGCTTTTGTCATTTCTAGATTACATTTATTTTGTATAATGTATGTATTACCTTTGCCAAAACGTCTTTTGCGCTCTGTTTCAATCTGTCTTGTGTTCTCTGCCATACGGATCTCATGACGAATGAGTTGACCCTTTATAGCATAACTGTCTGATAAACTCTCCATCATCATTAAATGTGCCCGACCTATTACAATTAAATATTAATCAAGCAAAAGAACAGAATCTTTAATTCGTATCCTTAATTTTTTTTTAAATGATTGAATTCAATAAAGATTAATAAACATGATTATAATACCAATTATAATACATACCTTTCAAATGTTTCTTAAATGAAGTGCCATCCCACATGCTTTTTTTACAAACATGACACTTAAAGTATCTTTTCTCAACTCCTTCAAATTCATTAACAACATTTTTCTTAGGTGATTCTGCATTTCCACCATCAGTTTTTGTAGCATTTTGTTCATCTGAAGAATCAGTGGTTTTTTCAACATTATCAACTTGTTTCTCTTCATTTGCTGCTTCGTTTCCTTTCTGGTCTTCAGAAGCATTATTTGATCTAAATGCATATATAAATATATTATATAAAAGCATATATGGCATATATACAAAATGTAAGCAAATTTCATTACATAGAGCAGAATATATCAAGATAAATGTTGATAGAAACTGTCAAATAGAAACAACCCCATTATACAAAAATATGATAGATCATTTAGAAATGTAAGAATAAAATTAAAATATTTGTTTATTTTCAGCCCATTGAAAAGATAACTCAGCATTGGTCAGAAGACCAAGTCTTTGTACACTCATCCAATACATAAAAATGATGAAATTCAAGTTGCAAGGCCATACAAAAGCCTAGAATTGAAATTGAAAATTGGTATTTATGGTTTTAGGAAGAAATATTAGAAGGCTTACCTCTTCCCGGGCTGAGATTTATTATTCCTATTGTTTAAATTTCCAGGAGTTTTCTTAAACTGCTTCGATCGCTTATTGTTGCCGATATTATTAGTACCAGACATTTTGGCAACACGATTGCGACTATAGTCGCGGTTACCTTGCCTGCTCATATTGCTCCTATTCAGCATCTGGGACATTAAATGTCCAGAAAAAGATGGCAACAAAAAAAGTAATATAGATAGAATATATAAAAATCTGTCTCATCTTCTATAAACCAGCTTATAAAACATTGTTAATAGAATTAACAATGAAATACACAGCAAAAATAACCAAAGGACTATGTAAAAATCGAGATAACAATAGTTATTCGATATAAAAATAGTTTCCCACTGATTTAATTTCTTTTAGAACAGTATTAAGAAGATTGTGTGGGAAAAGAGAACTTGCATGCTTTTTTCAATTGCTTTTAGCAAATACACATGTAGATCTGCCTGGTGAATCTTATAAAAATGTATAATGCAGAAGATGCCTTAATACAAGATCAGAAACTTTTTTATGTAAACTCCACCACAATATTGATTATATGTACCAAAGTAAAGTAAAAATAGAATTAGAGGAAGTTTACTTTATCATGATGAGGGAGCGCAGATTCACTCAAAACTAATGAATCACTAGATTATAAATTGGAATAAATTTCAATTATAATTTTGAAGATAACTCATGCACAACATGAAGATTGAAAAAAAATTTCATGCAAGTTCCCATTGATGACAGAGGTGGAATAACTATTTTGGATTTTATTATAATCAATTGGTACAAAAAAAGTATATTTAATCATTTTGAATTGCTACTAAGAAAACAAGTCAAGTACATTAAACTTTTCCAGATATAATCTAAATTTTCTAAAAATACCTTTCCTGGCACCCCTTGCCTCATTCTTGGAGTACCATAGTCCTGATCCATTGGCATAGGATTAACATCCAGCAATGATGGTAAAATGTTGTTTGAATTGCGGATTAGATTACTAATTAGATTATTGGCTAACAATAGAGTAGCATTTTCTTGATAGTTGCCAGAGTTTGAGTTTCTTGGCTCAGAAGAATTATTCCACGGATTCATTTGCATTGGTCTTTGATAACCTCGGCCCAACTCATTGAAGGAATTGGAATAGTTTGGTCCTCGACGATAACTCATCTATAATATAAAAAAAAAACTTAAATACCGTGGTTACATAAAATGTATGTAATGTACCTTCTATAAAGAATGGAAATTAAAAGGAAATGATAGTATGACACTCTTTTATGGTACAAAGAAAAATAGATCACACAATACAAAAGAAAACAAAGACGCTATTGATAAATGTAGATAAGAATATGGAGGTATAGTACAAAGAAATAAGTTTTGGCTGGTATAAAGTTCTCATGAACAGGAAAACGATAAATAGATTATTTTGTATTATAGATAAAACATCCATGCACACTATTATATTAATTGTTATTACAGCATCATTATATAGAATTTTAATGGATCGCTACATAAATCGATACCAAAGGTACCAAACATTACACGTAGTAAGTAAATATAAAGAATTTGCTTGATATATGAACGCACATAGTACAACATATACACCAAATAACAATACATACCTTAAATAGATTTCAATTTATCAGATTAAAGTCAACTAAGCAATCAATACACATCAACAATGAGAAAATAGTTTAGCAATGTCTTCGGACGCCTTGGTGGAAATCACTAGATGGGCTCAGATCATTTGTTTTAGTATGACCAGATGTGACAACGACGCAAAACCGGTAGCATGGCACACAAATTACGTCTTTTAACATCAGGCAACCCTGCAGTCACAATTTTGTGATTGTGATGTGATTTGAATCGACTGTCCTAGCGGCTTAAGTCTTCACCTAGCGGCGAAATTTATAAGTTATAAGTAGCTTTTGAGTTACAACTTGGAACTTGAAAATCGTTAGAGAGGGGTTAACCCCTAAAAAAAAACATTTAAATTAAATTAAGTACACGTCGGCGGTTATAATCGAGTGTGTGTAGATATTTTATAAATTGTTATGTTTGCTTTGTTAAAATAATAATAATACTAAGTATCAATTTGTTGGTCAATGTTACATCTGTTAATACCTTATTGCATCATTCGCTCGCGCATAACCTGTTATTGCTGGTAGGATTTTACCATATGCTATTGAAGAATAAATGAAATTTCTGCAAGTAAAAGGATAAAGTATAAAAGATACCTTATTTAAAATGAATACCCAAATGACAGCTCGAGACATTAGAAATACGTTTATAGATTTTTTTAAATCTAAACAACATCAATATGTTCATTCCTCATCAACCGTACCGTTGGATGATCCAACTCTTCTTTTTGCTAATGCCGGAATGAATCAATTCAAACCAATATTTCTTGGTACTGTCGATCCCAATAGCGATATGGCTAAATGGACAAGAGCGGTTAACACACAAAAGTGTATCAGAGCAGGTGGAAAACACAATGATTTAGATGATGTCGGTAAAGATGTTTATCATCATACATTTTTTGAAATGTTAGGAAATTGGTCATTTGGAGACTACTTTAAAAAAGAAATTTGTGCTTGGGCATGGGAATTATTAACGCAGGTGTTTAAGTTACCTGCTGATAGATTGTATGTGACTTATTTTGGAGGAGACGAAGCTTCTGGTTTAGCTGCAGATGAAGAATGCAAACAAATATGGTTAGATCTGGGTGTATTATCTTCTCATGTTCTGCCTGGAAATATGAAAGATAATTTTTGGGAAATGGGTGAAACAGGCCCTTGTGGTCCATGCTCAGAATTGCATTATGACAGAATAGGAAATAGAGATGTGCCCCATCTAGTTAATATGGATGACCCTGATGTATTGGAAATTTGGAACTTAGTATTTATACAATATAACAGAGAAACAGATGGTGAACTAAAGCTTTTACCAAAAAAGCATATTGATTGTGGAATGGGATTTGAAAGATTGGTTTCGGTTATCCAAAACAAACGTGCCAATTATGATACTGATTTATTTGGACCTCTCTTTGAAGCTATACAATCTGGTACTGGTGCACCTCCGTATCAAGGCAGAATTGGGAAAGATGATAAAGATGGAATTGATATGGCATATCGAGTCTTAGCAGACCATGCTCGGACTATTACCATTGCCTTAGCAGATGGAGGAGTACCAGATAATACTGGCCGTGGTTATGTATTAAGAAGAATTTTAAGAAGAGCTGTTCGCTACAGTTCTGAAAAGCTAAATGCAAAACCAAAATTTTTCTCAAGTCTGGTTCATACTGTAGTTGATTTATTGGGAGATACTTTTCCAGAATTGAAGAAAGATCCACAAAGCGTTATTGATATCATAAATGAAGAAGAAGAAATGTTTTTAAAAACTTTATCTCGAGGAAGAAATTTGCTTAATCGCACTATAAATAAATTAGATAATGCTAGTATAATACCTGGTGATATTGCATGGAGACTTTATGATACATATGGATTTCCTGTGGATTTAACACAGTTGATGTGTGAAGAAAAAAACATGACTGTAGATATGCAGGGTTATGAAGAGTCTAAAAAACGAGCTCAATTATTGTCCCAGGGTAAAGCTGGCTCAGTTGAAGATACAATTAATTTAGATGTTCATGCAATCACCCAATTACAAAATGAAGGACTTCAAGCTACTGATGATTCTTTTAAATATAATTACAATGCAAATTCATCAGATTTATTAACAGAATATAGCTTTGAATCATGTATTGGTGAAGTTGTAAGACTTCGTCACAATAAAGAGTTTGTTAATCAGGTAACTTCTGGCATGGAATGTGGTGTTATTCTTGATAAAACTTGCTTTTATGCAGAACAGGGTGGTCAAATATATGATGAGGGTTTTCTAGTAAAAATAAATGATGAAAGTACAGAATTTGCTGTCAAAAATGTACAAGTGCGTGGTGGGTATGTAATGCATATTGGAACATTGGAAGGAACATTGAAAGTAGGTGATAAAGTTACTCTACACATAGATGGGGCACGTAGACGCCTTATCATGAATAATCACACAGGAACTCATGTCTTAAATTTTGCTTTGAGATCTGTTCTTGGAACAGAAGCCGATCAACGTGGTTCTCTAGTAGCTCCAGATAAATTGCGATTTGATTTTACAAATAAAAGTGCATTATCAATAAATCAAATAAAAGACACTGAAATTTGTACACAAAATATGATAGCTAAAAATGAAAAGGTGTATGCAAAAGAGTCGCAATTAGCAGTTGCTAAATCTATTCAAGGATTACGAGCAGTGTTTGAGGAGACATATCCCGATCCAGTAAGAATTGTTTCAATTGGTATCCCAGTTGAGGATTTAGAAAAAGATCCTTGGAGTCCAGCAGGAACAAAAACTTCAGTTGAGTTTTGTGGAGGAACACATCTTTTACAAGCAGGCCATATTGGTGATTTTATAATTGCTAGTGAAGAAGCAATTGCAAAAGGTATACGACGAATTGTAGCACTGACTGGACCAGAAGCTACAAAAGCAATTAAAAAAGCAGATCTTTTGCAAAACGAATTGGTAAAATTGAAGGAAGCTGTCATTGCCGATAAAGAAGCATCAAACTCAAAGGCTCATGTTAAGCATATCATTGAATTAACTGATGATATTTCACAAGCTTTAATTCCATATTGGAGAAAAGACTGCATGAGAAATGAACTGAAATCCCTTAAGAAAACATTAGATGACAAAGATAGAATGGCAAAAGCTGCTGTTATGAATGACATTGTTGAGAAGGTAAAAGAATTGTGCCTTTCAAGTGAATCAGATGTATTTGTTAAACAACTGCAAGCAGATTCAAACACTAAAGCCTTAGATGCTGCTTTAAAACAAATAAAATTATTGAAACCAGATGCATCAGCCATGTTTTTCTCTGTTGATCAAGACAATGGTAAAATATTCTGTTTAGCTTCTGCTTCCAAACAAGCAATTCAAAAGGGATTAAAAGCAAATGAATGGGTTAATCATATAACAAGAATCATAAATGGTAAAGGTGGTGGTAAACCTGAATCAGCACAAGCATCAGGTAGCAATATTGCAAAAATTGATGAGGTGTTAATTGCTGCAAAAGAATTTGCAGATTTGAAATTACTGTAAAATGTATTTTACTTCTGCATTTGTTTGAAAACATTTAACTATTATTCTTTAGTCAATTTATACCGTTATATCATTCATATACATTTGTAATTTATTATCAATAAAATTATTTGTACTTAATCATAAACATTATTCAAATAACATATAATTTCAACTATCTGTTTCAAATATATCATCATATAATATTCTTAACTGCATTAAAAGTTTTTCAATATTTGTGCCTACCTTAGCTGATATAGGTATAACAGGCAAATCTGTTTTACTTTCAAGAAGTTCCAAATTATTTTTTGAGTCTTCAATATCAATTTTATTAGCAATAACTAAATGAGGTCTTCCTAAAAGTTCTGGACTGAACTGCCTTAACTCATTTTTTAGTATATCCAAATGAACCCATGGATCTTTCAGAGAAACATCTAGAACAAATAAAAGTGCAGAACAGCGTTCTGCATGTTTTAAGAACTGTATTCCTAAACCACGATTTTTGCTTGATCCTTCAATTAATCCTGGGAGATCTGCGACTGCAATTTGTTCAAAATCATCATATTGAATCATACCTAAGTGAGGTCGCAAAGTTGTAAATGGATAAGGAGCTATTTTAGGCCGAGCACGAGAAATTGCTTGTAAAAGAGTACTTTTACCAGCATTTGGAAATCCAATCTGTTAAAAAATAGGCAAATTATCAGAAATTATTAGAAAAATGACTTTTAATTTGAGTTTGATTCTTGATAAACTTACAAGACCCATATGTGCCATACTTTTAATTTCAAGAACATATCGCAAATCTTCTCCTTTAGCCCCAAATTCACTAATTTGTGGAGCTTGTTCAATATCTGTTGTGAAAAAGTGATTTCCTTTACCCCCAGCACCACCACGAGCAGCAACAAACATTGTCCCTTCCTTACTTAGATCTCCAATTACCTAATAGATGAATAATATGTTTAATGTAAGTAATCTCTATTTAATGTACTCTATATATCAAAGGAAAATCAAAGTTTTAACAATTAATAAGTTAAGTCAAAAATAACGTACAGAATAGATTTAAAAAAAAGACCAGCAAACTAATTATGTATGGCAGTTAATTCTTAAAAAAATAAAACTTAAACAACAAATGCAACCTACATCGCCATTAGAATTTTTTATTATTGTGCCTACTGGAACTTTAGCTACTGTATGAGGAGCATTCCGACCATGGCAATCTTTTCCTCTGCCCTTTTCACCTGAATCAGCCTTTAATATTGTTTCTAAGTGGCTCAAATTCGACACATTTGTACATGCTTCAAACACAACATGACCACCATTTCCACCATCACCCCCATCAGGGCCTGCATTTTCATTTGCCCATAGTTGCAAAAATGATATGCAGCCATCTCCACCATCACCAGCGATGGTTCGAACAGGTTTAGTATCTATAAATTTTTGAGTCTGCACATAAAATTTAAAAATAAATAAAAGTGCAATAATAGAATTTACATAAGATTTTAGGAGTATTCTAATAATTAATTATTTTGATTGTTTTTCCATAAGTATGGATTTTCTACTTTCATGTATTCATACTGAATTTTCAGAAATTGTTTTGTAGATATTCTCTTATATAACTTTTAAAAAATGTGCCATTTAAACGATATATATATATATATAAATAAATATCTTTATTTAAAATTATTTAATTCATATTTAAATACACGATGCTCTCTTAAGAGCACAAATAAATAAAATCGTACTTTCGTCCGTGTAGATTTTTGCTTTTTAGGTTTAAGTGCTACAGCTACAGTTTTTGAGTAACATTGGCAAAGACTAATAGCACCATTTAACTTTGGAACATTAAAACTAGCTTTGAATATTTTGAACATTTTTAAAATATGATTTAAATGTTCATAGTTTACTTAGATATGTTCTAGGGTTATGTTCCTATTGTATATTGTTTTATTTTGACAATAAAAATTAACGAAGTTGATGAAAATGAAATGTCAAATAAATGCAGTGCTACCGCTACACAAACTTATTATTAATACTTTTTGTCTACAACGACAATACCACTAAAAATATATAGATTAGAACTAATCTGGCACTACAACTGTCAAAAGTCTTAAAATATAATAACAAATATATATTTATATGTTGTTTTGTAAATAGATTTTTTCAGTTTTCATTTTCATAGAATTATAATGAACATATTGTAACAATTTTATTATATGAGATAGGTGTATTTTTTATTTAATATTAAAATATTAGTTATATTACTAAGCTAAATTAAGTTGCGACCCAGGCACGACTTTAATTGAAGCTTTACAGTTCCAATAAATATCAAAAATGACTGAGCAAGAAATAGCTCCGCAAAAGTTATGGATTGGAAATTTGGATATAAGATTAACGGAGTAAGTTGGATAATTGTTTTAATATATATGTGTACATACATACAATTTACATATTAACTGAAGTTTTTTTTTATAAACTGGTTTCAAATTTTAAAATTTATTCAAAAATGCGGTAATATTGAAAATTTTGATCTGCCATATGTTCGCAATGGAACCAATAAGGGTCAACACAGAGGCTTTGCCTTTGTTACATATAAATCCTCTGGAGATGCAAAGCATGCTATGGACACCATGAATGGAAAAATAATAATGGGAAGAAGAGTAGTTGTAAAATTTGCAAATAAAATCAATGATGTATGTGCATAATGTATTCTTGTGTATGTGAAACTTTCAAGTAACTATTGAATTTTCTTTATAGGAAGACATAAATAATAAGCCAGATCTAAAAATTTCTGCCCTAACTGGAGCATCATCAAATTCAAACAGAATAGGTAGAGAAACTACAATTCGAGCTATTGAATCAAAATTAAAATTGATGGAAAATCAATCCCTAGATGTTTGTGCAACCTTCAACAAACCTGCTGCTGGCGAAACAAGTTTGGTTAAAAATTATCAATATAATTTAAATTCTAAACCAATCATAGAAAAACGAAGTAATTTTGATCACAAATATAGGGGATATAGAGAACATAAACCTTACACGAAAAAAAAATAATGAGTATAATTTAATTATACAATATATATTAAAATATGTTTCAGACTCAATTTTGTATTTAAAATAAATTATATTACAAGACATTTTTTTTATATTGCCTAAAATCAATCTAGATGTGGCAAGATAAAATTATCTACTATAGAAGTGTTAAGATGCCAATCATAATGTTGTACTCCTGGAACTGTTATAAACAATAACTGGTCTTTTATAAACATATCACGTAATCCTAAGAGGTCTTTAGTGTAAATATCACGCTTCTTCAATGGAATAACATCACCATTTTCATCATAATATCCAAATTGGCTAAAACATCCCAAGATAATATAGTTCACAAATTATAATTTCTTTATTAAATCAATTAAATTTGTTCATAAATCATAATAAGAATTTAAAAATAATTAATAAAAATAAAAATTAAAAGCCAATAAGTATATAAAAAAAAACATTTTTCTTGTGTATAATTGTATATATTAAACTAAAAATCAATTCACCTTGATTCCCACGGTGTTATAACTCCATCATCTGGTCCACCAATTAAAATAAATTTTTCTAACTTTTTCAAAGTGTTTTTGAATTGAGATGATTTTGAAGAATGTAATTCATTGTTAACATATGGCAAAAAAACACTAATATTCATATACAGATCTTGATGATATGGATCATTCCAATAATTACCCACAGAAGTATATTGCCCAATTCGTGAGTAGAATAATTCATATGCCGTCTTACAAACCAAATTGGGAAATATCAAATGCAAAAATGCAGCTATAAATATATTTCAATATTATTATGTTTTTTTAGCATCTAATATAAATTACATTATGTGTAAAGCATTGTCTTACCTCCATACTGACCAGCTTGAGGTGAACTTAAAGATATGAGCTTCTTCACATTGTGATTGGGAAGCGATTGTATTGCAACTCTGGACAGAAGGCCACCTTGAGAATAACCTGCAAAATAGTTTCAATATTTACAAGATATATTATTTATATAAAACATATGTGCATTACCAATGATGTGTATTCCATCGGGATGACTATCAGAAATATTTTTTATATCATCAATTATTTCATGAACCTGACGCCAAGCTGGCTCTAAACTTGACCAACCTGCAAACTTTTCAGTATTGTAGATAACTGTTCCTGGGTGTATCTTGAATGTGATTCGATATGAAATTATATTTTATAATTATAAAATATATATTAATATATATATATATATATATATATTATATATATACATAATTATGTATTAAATAATTTCTAATATAATTATATTTAATTAAAACATTTTTTTACCGTGGTACCTCTTGAATACGTTTGCCTATTAAATTCATACTATTGCTTCCTGTTAAAATTCCATGCATTAATACTACAGGCTTATAAGCTTCGCAGATTACATGTAAATATACAAATATTAGCAGATCAGAGAACTTCATTTTACTATTAATATCTATATATTTTTGATATAAATTGTTCGATTAAAGTATTGCATATTAATATACAAAGTACAAAGAAAAATGCGCACGAAGTGAATTGAATGAATCGGACAGTTAAAATTGAATATTGTTTGTTATTTAGAAGGTTATCATCCCCACTCTGAAATCAAGCTGATGTCACAGACTCTAAAATTAGTATGGAAGTGAGTAACTTACTTACTCATATTAATCCAGAGCAAAAAGGAACATACATACTAAGGAGAAAAATATATTATTCCTCATATATCAATATATTATCCAGATACATAAAATGGCTTTTATTCTTTTAAAATAGGTGCAGCCGTTCTTTGAGAAAACGCCGACGAAAAGTCACATACACACATACTTTTTCCAACTTTGGTCTCGAACAAATCAGAATGGCATGAAAAGTTGAAAAAATATAAAGCTAGTAAAACGTTAAAAAAGAATTATCCTAAAGACCATTTATAAACAGTAAAATATATTATATTATAATTATTTAACACTTCTATGTTCTTAAAAGCATTTAAATTGTAAAAATATGTATACAGTATATTATATATATATATATATATATATATATATATATTATATATATATATATATATATATATATATATATATATATAACATTTATAATGAGCAATATATTTTATGGCGCCACCGAAGACGAAGGAACATCATTAATTTCTGGACTAGAAGTTGGAGGATGTCTGAAAAGTAAATACAAATTTGAAAAAAACATAAATAAAGTGTCAATAATTATTATTTTATTATAATAGTAGCATTTGTGAAAATCGCCTTAATCAGTTTTTTTAATAAACTTTACCTTCTCCTATATCTGTAGATAATAAATAGAATGATTGCGTTTCCAAATAGAAGGCCGCCAATCAGCAATGAAGGAACGATAATATCTAAGGAAAAATATTACAGTTAAGTAAATATATATTCACACTTTTATTTATAAAATAAATAATTTCAATATATGTAATTAACAGTAAATTAATATAATTCAAAATTTACCGAAAAACATATCGCCTTGTTCGTTAGCCATTACAGCTTTTGCTTCGTTAATAAGAGGGGTTGTGTCTATTTTATTCTCTTTTATATCTGCAAAAGGAATATTTTCAATTTGTTTTAAAATGATTTACATTTACAACATAATATTAACTATTTCATAATAGGTAACATGCATTAATTAATAATATATTATTATTAGTATTAGTATTTTTTCCATGGGAAAATATTTACAAAGAGTCCAGTTTTTCAGACCAGTATGAACGCTCACGATTTAATTAATTTTAATAGGTCCTATTATTAAATTTAGATTGACCCTCTAGAAGACCTTCACAAATGTACAATAAATTGTCACTCATGGGTTAATATGTATAACAGAGAATATATATAACACGTTTTATACAAAATTTCATTGCAGATTTCATCAAAATAGCACGAAAATTACCGATTAAAATGGCAGAACTGTAAATTATTTCACAAACTTTTCATTGATTTTTTTCTAATTTTTTACAGTTTATCTAAACATTAGAAAACGTAATTTTCTTCCAATTATACGTAATTATTTTTTTTTTATTACTACAAATTTCAACAATCAGAATAAGTCGAAAGTGAGTAATGAAAAACAAAACAGAGAAATATATATATACATATATATATATATATATATATATATATGTATATATATATATGTATATATATATATTTATATATATATATATATATATGTATACACATATTTATATATATATGTATATATATATATATATATATATATATAGATAGATATAAATTATAATAACAATAATACATAATTTAATTAAATTTGCATTAAGTGTTTTTTTATTTCATTAAATCGTATTAAAACATGTGCTTATATTTTCTTGTGATTGATTTTCATTTTATTTCCGTTTGTCCTAGTTATTTACTTAAACTTAAAAGTCAATGTTCTGAAAATTATAATAAATTTTTATAATAATAATAAAAAAACTAAACAGTATGCAGTATGAATAAATATGTGAATAAATATGAAGTAATAAAGAATAAATTTAATATGAAGTAATATAAAACCTAATTATAAAGTCATAAAGTTAACCATCAAGTCAATTTTCTTAATGTTATAATATATTTTTATCTTAATAATAAAATAGCACACTTGATAATAAAAATGTATGAATAAATATGAATGAATAAAGAAGAGCTTTATACATATTGATTGCAATATTTTGATGTAAAGAAAGATGTGCTCTATATAATGAATTTTATGATTCAGTTTATCAAATTCACGCATGTCAGCAAATAGCATATGCGCCGTATAAGCAGTTTGTGAATGAAAGCATTGACAAGAATATTCTGCGCTTCGAAGCGATGAGAAAATATAAGTATAGCTTATAAAGTTTATTTTTAACTAATTACATGCATTTTGTTTGTATTAAATCTGATAATATGTTTAGAAATAGTATAATGAACTAGTAGTGCATGGCATCGTGGCTTAAAGGAAATTGCTGGAACTGAATTACCATTTTTGGCTCTGTTTGTTCTGTCCCGGCCTTTACTGAAACCTTATCAGCACGTGTCCCAGAATCGAATGTTGCTTGAATTATTCAAATCGGTTGATCCGTGTTGACGAAATCGTCGACGTAAATTTGTATCCGCACATACATACATACATACACACACCAATATTCATTTTTTCTAAGGTATGCCAAAATGTTCAGAAACCTTGGAAACGTAAAGATGAGCAAAAATTTTAATTTTCGATTTTTAGACAATAGTAGAACTTATCCTAAAGGAAGTTAAAAATATAAGTAGTTTTTAAGGTTTATATTGAACTAATTACACGCGTTTTGCTTATATTACATTTGAGAATGTGTATAGCAATCTATACATGGTATCCTGGTAATAGTACACCTAAGTCTGTTTTTACACGGTCTTTTTGTACACGATTTTGATATAACACGGTTTGAAAATTGAATATTTTTAATTTTTTTACACGATTTTATTCCATTTAGCACGATTTGAAATTTTATGTACTTACATTTTTTTTGTCAAATTTAATTTTTGCGAAGTATGTTCATATCACAAAAAAGTATTTATGAAAGAAAAAAGTCTGAAACCATCGATAGTATCGATAGTTTGCGAACACTAGCTTAAAGATTTAAGTGAATTCTCCTTTAGTGCGTACAAACAATTTTTACTGGTCAAAGCAAATGTGAATAGCACTAATTTAAGGGAATTCTCTTTATGTGCATACAATAAAATTTACTAGTCAGATTTAAGTGAATTCCCCTTTAGCGCGTACAAACAATTTTTACTGGTATTTACTTTCACTTATTCTATTTTATTTTATTTTTTACCTTAAAAATTGAATAACCTATTCTTTTCGTTCACAACATAGTTTTTTAGTTCCTGAACTTGCCATACATTTAATTTATATTAGGTTGTCAAATATCTCCCTTCCGCCTTTTTGTATTATAAACCAAGAGCAAAAAAGCGGAAGGGAGATATTTGACAATCTAATATATATACTTTTAAGATTAGAGTGCATATCTTTTTTGTCATTAATTACTATGCTTGTGTAATAATATAATAAGCATTATATATTTGATTTAATAAAATAAACATGAATTCTTGTTCTTAAAAATTCTTGTTTTTCACTAATTTTAATAGGTTTTAGAGATTAGGAACAAATCACCCATTTTTGTATAAGATCAATGTCTTTTTTTACACAGTTTTTTTTTTTGCACGGCTTCTTCTGGAACCAATCTACCGTGTAAAAACAGACTTAGGTGTATGATAAATAAATTAATAATTCTACTTACCAATGCAGCTGGGCAAAGTATTATTCCACGTGCGTCCGTCGACACAGACCAGAATTCTTTCCTCGGAGAGAGTATCAGGAAAGACATAACCTTCGACCGCACAGCTGTACCGGGCGCGCACAGGCAGACTGTTCCGACCGTTCGCCGCCGCCGATTTCGCGTCACTCTCGGCCGAATGCTCCGAGCTGTGGTTCGTGTTCGTCTCTTCTGGCCTGTTATCTCTCCTATGTTTGCCCCTCGGTGCGAGATCGTAAGTCTTTTTCCTTCTCGTATGAGAATAAGGGACTCTCAGGAAGTACTTGTAAACAACATGTTGAGATAAATATGGAACGACGATATCTTTAGCTTTAGACGACGCTCCACGTCTGGCGGAGGACAGTTGAAGTATTTTTACGCCTTTCGGCAATTGAGGCAATTTGCAGCCTGTAACTGAAAACGATTAATATAAAGTTAGTAAATAAAAGTGTATAATATAACATTAGTTAATCAATGATATTGTTTTTGATTTACGCTATTTGGTTACGTTTTATGTTTCATAGTGCTGTTTTTAATATATAAACTGGTGGTGCATGGCATCGTGCCTTGAGGCAAATTTGTGGAACTGTTCCGTACCGTATTTTAAAATTTTTGAAAGCTTTAAATTTTTTTGAAAACTTTGATAAAATTAAATTTTAGAGAGATTTGAAATTTTTGAAAAAATTGAACTTATTTGATTTTTTTAAATTTTTTTTAATATGAAGAATTTTTTTTGAACATTTTTCAAAGCAATCATGCTGCTGGCTGTTTTAAAGACAGTGTCGCAGTCTTACGAATAAAAATTGGAAAGCAACCCATGGAAATGTAAACTAAATTTGTACACATTAATATCTAGTTATAAATAGTTAATTTATTCAGATGCACAAAGTCCATTAGACCTTAAAGTAGGAGAGACTCTAATAAATTAGTATTAGTTAAGATGTATACTTTTGACTAGTTGAAGTAGTACCTAAAATCCAAAATATTTTTTTCAAATGGTTGTTATAAATTTTTAAACAATTAGAAAATAGAACATTTGTTGTGATACATGTCATGATAATCGATATGAATTATTATGATGATAGAACTGAAATTTCTTTTATTTGAAAAAGACTATAGTAATCATGAAAATGATTTTTTAATACTTTAAATGTAGACTTTGTCTTGTAAGACAGTTTTGCATTATGTACATATTGTTTCTTCTTTAAACAAATTCCGCAAAATATTTGTTGCTATTTATATTATTTGCGCAACATAATTTTGTTTGGAATTATATTCAAATTTCAGTATGCTTCATAGCTTTGTAGCACATAAATAATTCTTACAATGTGACTAGTTTTGCATTTAATTCGAAGGCGACGAGTTTTTTTTTCTAAGTCTATATTAAGTTTATTACAAGTATATGATAATTAATTAAACTATATTCTCTATAAAATATCTGATCATTGATGTGCATATGTCTAATGATCATTTTTGACCGCCAAATGGCAATTTTTTTTACTCTTCATATTGGATCTCTGAAACCGCTGAACTTGCCTCCCCAAAAATTTAATCACTTTTTCATTTCATCAATACACATAAATTTTTTTTTGAACCATTCAATTTGGACGCTCCGTTATCTCAAAAACTGAATCACTATTTTTGTTTTTTTTTTATCTTCGAAACGGCTAGACCTGTCTTTGCCAAAAACTAGTCAACACGTCTCCCCATCAATACGAATCTCGAATGAATTATTTAAATAAGTTGATACGTGTTCCCGAAATCGTCGACAAAAATTTGTTTCCTAACTAAAAATTACTTAGAAACATGTCAATTTTCTTGAAATAAGCAAACAATTGAATTTCAGAGATAGTATTGCCGTTTTCTTGTCGCCCTGGTAAATGTTACAACTTGCCGCAAACACGGGGTAAACTGTAACAACGCACTTTTTCTTGAACAGTATTAATTGTGAAATAATAAACAATAGTTATTGCATTATTTTTACTTTGGAATTTGTTAATGGAATAATCATAGCAACTATTCAACTTTATTTCTTAGATATCAGATTCCAAGATATATTTATTAAAAAAACTGTTACAACAAACCCCTAGCTCTCCTTCGAAAATTTACACAGATGAGAAAAAATAAGAAGTTCAAGAGTCGGAAAATGAAATTAAGAGCGTCATCTAATTAACATGGAGTTGAAATTAAATTGGATTAAATCTTAGATGTATCGTTAATTACAAACAAGTTAGACAAAATAAGATGATCTTTAGGAAAATAGTTATATTAAAAAAAGTAGCATTTTCGTTTTAAACTTGCACGATATTTTTTTATATAGTACGATGTTTCATCCGACCAATAGACTCGTAATTTTACAATGCAATTCACATTGAATGAATTTTACACATTTTTATCATGAATTTTCCAACACTTATAATAAATGGTTTATATACCTTTATAATAAAGTAGAAATCCTCTTTTAGGATAAATGTTTTTTGATCGGGTAGTGAATGTAACTGTTAATTTCTGATCTCCTTGTGAACTTATAGATGTAATTTTCTGACTTTCGCCACATGTGCGAATTAAATGCCTACCAATCGTATGATCGGTTATGGTTAAACTATCAACACAAAACGACTCATTATCCACTATATCTGAAAATTAAATAAATATCATTTGTTTAATTGTTAAATAATAATTTGATATCATTTATATCTTATTTACCTCTGAGTGACACATCAAGTAGCAAAAACTCCACCTGCAAACCAGGTGGTGGAGTTATTGTCCAGAAACAAGACAATCCTCCAACATAATAACCAGGATATCCAGGCGACATTATAAAACCCGTTGATCGAGTCAGAGAAGCACCACATAATCTCGATATCGAAGATTCTGTCATTTTAAATAATATAAATTAATTAAAATTATATATAAATATAAATATTAACAAGTGTGTCTACGCATCCTCTTATAACTATTCTTTATTTTTATGTGTGATTTCTCCAAATTTAGAAAAGTCTTATTAATTATATCTATTTTTAAGTTTACAGCCATAATAAAGTTGAAATAATCTAATTAACAAATCAGTAAGGACTTCCTATTTCCTACATTAAAAATACAAGGGTTACGATTATTTTTAAATTGCCTTGCTCAAGTTACAAATCGGATGGTTGTCTACATAAAACAACGAGCTTGCTAATGAGGATTTAATAGTTCTATTTAGAGAAAAGATTTATATATATATATATATATATATATATATACAAAACTGAAATGTTTCACACATCATTGTTAGAATTAATACCTAGTCATTCAGTTCTTTATGCTATTAACAAGGCAATCCAGTCTCATATAAGGCACCATCTTATGCTCGAGTTATTAAAATAGAGTTTAACAACCAGACTCACATAAGAAGTAATTTATAGTAATACCCCTTTTTGGTACAATATTTTTTGTGTCGATACTTTTAACAAATCGGTCTCAAAGAAACGTGCGAAATGGGCCGATCCTGGGTTTATGGTCACCTTGTATATTTATCGGGGTTTTGTCGCATTTTACCCTACGAAAGGAATCTTTTGTTACGTTTTTTGCTTATTGGAGTCAAATCTAATATGTACAAACCGATCCCCTGAAATTTTTACGAAAGCCGGTATAAATTCAGTGCTTTCATCAAGATGTGGAAGCCCTGAATGAATTCTAAACCAAAATATATAACACCAACGAGTAATAGATTTTTTTTCTAAGTATGAATATTACTCATTAGGTTCAAAAAGCAATTACCAGATATATTACCTCTAAGTCTGAATATTACTCATTAGTTCTAGAAAGTAATATATAAGATTTATCACATAAACTAGAAGTTAATGGAGTATCATATGTAAGAAAATGTATAAAATAGGTTTTGGTTTGTAGCCATATATCTATGTTCAAAAATGATATGTATAAAAGTGGGTATTTCTATACAAATGGATGATAAAATCATTACTGATATTTCATCAAAAATCAAATTCTACACAGACACGTGTTAGTGACCAAGTGCATTGTGTCCTTTTCCCATTGTACATAGTTATTGGTTAATTTATTAGCCCTATGTCTGCTTAATGGAACTAAGGGTAGATTTAGAAACTTGATAAAATCGTGCGAACTTACAATCTAGTAATATTTCCGTATATGTACTTTCCTTGAAATACAGCATTCGACATTGGGTAGTGAGAAGCTTTTAGTTTTTCAAATTGAATTAGAACAAAGTAGAATAAATACTTTCGCTTGTTATTTTTATACCAAATATTGTATTCAAGTGAAGTGCAAAATCGTGTCGACTTAAATATGTAAAATATTCCATTGAATTATAGGCTTCCCCTATTTTCTTTCAAGTTAAAATGGATTTGCATGTACGAACTTTACTAGATCATAAATATCTTTATGAGACATTTACACCATATATATAGAAATATATAGATGAACACATATTCAATTAATAAATCATTTTAATTTTAATTATCATTACGTTTGAAACAAAGTATGCTAGCACAACTAATCAGTGTTACAAGAGATTTTTTATACATATTATTTGAGCGATCATAACTTTTAAGGGTCCTATTAGCTGTTGTGAAAATTCAACTTAACAGTTAGTCAGTATGCAATAATTAATTCTGCAAAATGCCGATCAAGGGCTATTTTCACTTTAAAACATATTGCTATCTTTATTTCCAAGTAAAACTACTGCTTGTCACCAGGCTGCCCAAGGCAAGCCTGGGACCTGGGACCTCTGACTAAAATCTACGAGGAAGCCAGGAGAATTTTGGCAAGTTATTTCTACAATGTTATAAAAGAACACAAAATACCGAAAAATCACGTTCCTGTATCGGAATTATCTAGAAAATACGCATTGTTAGAACGACTCTTTCACGGATATCAAAAAGAATAGGGTGCCAGAGTTATTTCAAATATTTCATCATATTTACGCAACGGATCAAATGATACGGTATCGATCCGATATAATCATAAAATCTGAAAATTTATCGAAATGGATATGCTACTGTTACATATTACATAAAGAAGATTTATGTTGTCTCTTTATGATAACCAATATTTATGAAAACAAGTCTTGAAAGTATCATTTTGTTATTGAATCAATCAATCAGCAACTACTACATAACAAATACGAGTAAGTCATATATCAATAAAATACCCCATGTAACTAAATAATATAAACAATACATCTACCCCTAAAAACCGTTGGCCGACGCAGTTGGTTGAGCAGAAAACTGCCCGTCATTGAATAATTTATGAGAGTAGAAACAATATCAGTATTTACTCAAAATTGTAATCTGAACTTGAATATGTAACTATGTATATTTTTACAGAACCAAGCTTCAAGATTATTTTGAAATATTACATTTTTTTGAAACATTATCTTATAAAAAATCAAGAAAAATCCATATAGAAAGGTCTATTTGAATGTTACATTTTAAAACAATAATTAGCTTATATCAGAACAATTTATAACTCAATTTATACTAATGTAATAATGTAATAAATTTTGCTTTTTTATTCAATTATACAATTTTTTTTGATAAAGTATATAATTTAAACACAATACTTATTATCACTTAAATTGATCACATCTGTGTTACTAGCATAGAAACAATTTTAGAGACGCAGAAAATTAAACGAAAAGTAAGACAAAGTCTGCATACTAATAAACATTTATAAGATCATAAAATTAAAATAAATACTAGTGTTAAAGCAAATTGCTGGAACTTCTCGTACCGTAGCGGAATGTTCAAGGAATACTGAATGTTTTCAAATAGATTATTATAAATATTGTAACATTGTCTAATATTTATAAGAATTATATAAACAGAATCGCAGAGTTGAAATTATTTGTTTAAAGTATATTAGAACTTTAGTCAGAATTAAAAATAAAATCTGAAATCATTTAAATCGGACGTTTAGTTCTCTCAAATATGCAATTTTTTTAACATTTAGCTCTGTATACGGGAATTGCTGCACCTACCTCTGCCAAAAACTAATAACCACTTCTCTCAATCATTACTAATTGAATGTTTTTTAGATCATTCAAATCGGATACTCCGCTTTCTCAAAAACTCGATTTCTATTTTCTGCAATCTTTGCTTTTTATCTCTGTAACTGTTGGACCTGTTCTTGCCAAAAACTAATCAGCACATCTCCCTATCAATAGGAATCGAATGTTTTTTGAACCATTCAAATCGGTTGATCTGTGCGCCCGAAAACGTGAATGAAAAATTGTATCCGTACATACATACACACACATCCATTTTTTCTGAGGTATGCCAAAATGTTCAGAAACCTTCTAAACGTCGAGAAATGTTATTTCGAAGAGTTATCGAAATTTCATTTCGGTTTTTGGACGATTACAATAACTTACCCTACGGGAAGTTAATAATATCCATCAAGTCTTAAATTACACTAGTGACCACAATAGATACTTATTTGTTACTTCGAAGGAACTTTAGACTCTTACCATGTAGTTTTTAGAATGCTTAGCAACTTTTGGAACCTTACTAGGATTTTTACCAGGAACCTTGTTCTAGGAACATTTTAATCATATAGATATGTGAATCTATAAACATTTTAAATAAAAAAAATCTACATCAATAATTTTTGTAAATCTTTTATTAACAAGCTCGCCGTTTATGAAATGGTGTTATAGAGTCGCCACTCACCTGCCATACACGCGTACGTAATGCGCACGAGTCCTGGTCCCCATTGTTCGGAATTTCTGTGATCCTCGTGCAGTTTAAAACTGCAATGGTTTTTGCCCGAACATCTGCAGAGAATAGATACACATATAACTTTATAGATAAAATCATGACAAACATATTTTAGACACACACATTGCCAGAAAACAGAGCATAAAAGCACACATAACTTCATGGATAAAATCATCCAAAATATATTTTGGACATATTTAGGGAAAATAGATATAAGCATAGAGGCATATTCTAGATTATATTATATATGTATGTATATAATTATACATACATTGCATCTATAAAAGCTATTTTTTTTACAAAATTACGCTTTGACTGTAGTCCATATCTTTCATTCATAAGCAAAATACTAAAACTGATTTAATGCACATAAGTATAGTAATAAAGTACTTAAATATCTATAATTTGATATTATCCTAAGATAAAAAAACCACTACGCATAAATAAATATTATCGTATGAGGATGGGGATATTAAGTTGTTGTAAATATTAAAAAATAGACAGAACAAAGAAAAAATAATAGTTATTCAAGAACAGGGAATGCACGATATAGTTCTGTGTCTAAAATGATATTTTTAGTATATTTCTCCTGAATGAAGGTTATAACATTAGCAGTAATGTATGAATTTTAAATAATTTTAAAAGAATTTAAAATAAACTTACATGTATATAAAATTCATTAAATTTTTATTGTTGTCCGACTATAACGATTTTCATATATTATATAAAAACTATATAAAATATAAAAACAAGGCAGTTTTTTGCACTTTCATTAAATAATGTTGGACTTGCAAAACAAGTAATAGAAACGAAACTAATGGATCATGGAGAAATTCCATAAGTTAATATGCTTATAATAAAAAGCAAATATTATACTTTTAGATATGTAATTTATTTATTTCTTATTACTTGTTCAACAGATCAAATATTATTAAGCAAAAGTGCAAAAAAGATTGCAGTGTATTCATACTTATATTTATTATGATATTTAATTCTACATTTTAATAATAAATAAACAAGTCATTCTTTAAAATTAAAATCAATTTTTATTTTAACCACTTTAATATGATTCAAAGAATTTTATTTTTAAAATGTTACTAGATAGCTACATATATAACAAAAAGTGCAATAATACTTCCAATCCAATCAATAATTTGAAAAGTTAAATGAAAAAATTGAAAATGTATGAGGAGCATATAAAAATATTTTAAAATGTTGATAAGTGAATAAAGTTGTGAGTACATTTATATTTTGAAATTTGAAAAGTTAAATGAAAAAAATTTAAAATGTATGAGAAGCATATAAAAGATATTTAAAAATGTTGATAAGTAAATAAAGTTGTGAGTACATTTATATACTATTAATTATAATTTAAACGAGCTAGTTAACACTTTGTGTATAATTTGTGCACATATACATATATACTCAAAATTAATTTGTATAGTAATTGCCAATAAATATGGTACAATGCGACAGAAATGGTTTATAGGAACCTCATATCAAGATCGTTTTTTTCGACTCTATTATTTTCTTATTCGTGATATTTACCTATTATTTAGAGGACCTCGTAGATTTTGAACCCCCTTTACCGGCACTTTGTTATTATTGATATGGATCCACTCGAAAAGATCCCTTTGCAAATGTGCCTTGTACATTCGCCGACAGTTGGTGCTTCCAAATTGAGTAGTTCTATTCCTGGTTTGGTTCCGGTTTCCGTTTCCATACACCTGCGAATCTGGTGTGTATAAACCTGCTTCTAAAATTGCTATCAGGGACGTCAAACGGGCACACGTCAGCCGGAATTCCGAATCGGCGCATCCTGTCTCTTCGATTACCTCTAGAAAATAAATAATAATAATGTAGGAATTAAATCTAACGTATATGTCTACCTAGACATATAAAATTTTTATTTTTTTGCTAAAAAATCTGACTTGCTAATTCCACGCTTGCTCGACGTTACAAGTCATTCTGAATCTTTTGAGATCAAATTTGGGAGTCATTTTTTGACATTTCTTCGACGTTTTCTCAGGAACGATTGAACTGATTTCAAAAATTTAAGAAAACGTAATAAGAACTTCCATTGTAAAGATTTTCAAGTCGAACAAACAGTTTTTTTAGAATTAGCAGAAAAATGCAAAAATTTTTAGCCAACGTTTTCGTAAAAAATTTTAAATTGATTTTGATTAACCAAAAACTATTTGATATCATTTGGGGATCGTGCTAATCAGGTTTTGGCAGAGGTCGGTCAGATCGTTTCTCCATAATTGATTGTTAAATTGTTTTGACGATTGAAAAGAAACTTGTATAAAGTTTCTGGTCTTAATGAACATACTAAAATGTTAAAGAATTACTACAAGTGATTTAATTATAAAAAATTTCAAAGTTTGGATTTATCGCCCGCGTTTCTAAGAAATATTTCATGTGTGTTCGTTTTCCAATAATGTGTAATATTTCTCAGGATGCAAAAATAATTATCTTGTTTGAAAAGTTTGATCAAATTGAATAATCTGTACTAGTTTCTCACATAATAATACTCTACAGCACAGGTTCCCAAACTTGTTTATGTCGTGGACCCCTTAGGCTTTGCCAAATTTTTAAATATTTTTCTCTTTATAAATTTATATTTGTACTAACATTTCATATTGAGCATTCAATGTAAAAATACAAATACATGATTAAACATTATTTAGATTTTTGACTTAAAAATTATAATAAACAATAGATATTAACAAGGTGTGTTGCAATCCACTATCGTGGATCTCTAACATTTTTTTTGATAGAGGTCCATGTGTATCACTTAGAAAATCAATGCTCTACAGCAACTTATACTTATAAATCACTTAAATATACTTATAAATCACATAAATTAATATATTGATTTTTATTTATCAATTATTTACACATTTTTGAAAGTTTATGCAACTCGCCTTAAAGCAAAATGCCACCTATAATTAGTATAAAATAAAAAAACAAGATAATCATTATCCATTATCCAGGAGGTGAAAACCATAAATCAAAATTAAAGGCAATATTTTAGAGATTCTCCGTTTCTTTCACATTAACAAATCAATTCGATAAATTTAAAAGAAAAATAAAGAAATATCATATATAAGGAAATTGAAGACAAAGAAGACTGAAGAGTTATATAAAAATATTTTAATTATAATAGATATTAAATTAATGAAATAATCAAATGAAATGTATATATAACTTAGGTGAACTGTTTTCATAATCTCTCATACCTGACACTTCTATCTGTCTGAGATATGAAAATAATGTATATATATATATATATATATATATATATATATATAAATAAAAAAAATTCTAACTATGACCATCAATCAGAAAATATTTTAATTTAACAAAACAAAACAGCATTTTGAAATAATATGTTACACTTCTCGTTTATTATTTATTACAAACTAAATTTATTTTAATTGAAAAAAGTGTTTTCCAAATCCAAATAATTGGCCTTAAATGTATAATGAGATTGACCCTTATCACGACTGTTAGACCGCCCTCATAAACTCTTTGACATATTTCCTAAACAACTGAGCAACTAAATTTCTAATTAGTCTAAAAAGGTCATATGGTCAACCTTTATATATATAAATATATATAAATGAATATATATATATATATATATATATATATATATACATATATATTAAGTAAAATCATGTGATAATATAATATATATAATTTGAGTTCAAACGTCCAGGTGTTGTATAAAAAAAATAAATGTGTGGATAATAATATGTATGTATTTTCTAATAAGAATATTCTAATTTTTTGCAAGTTTATTTAATTTACATAAGTTTCGAATCCTAGCCTTTATTTTCTGGAAAATAAAGTTTGATATCGTAATACACAACACTAAGCTTTAAACATTCAATTACTGCCAGCTATTCATTAGTCATAAATTACAAAATTAAATTGCCTCAATCATACATGTCAGGCACAGATTATAATTTCATATCTCATAATTAATGATTAAAGAATTAACAATATCATGAAATAAATAGAAAATAAATTATACTGATAAACGATAATTAATTGGACGTAATTATGTCATCACGAGTGCAATCGGTCATTGCAAAATTATTGATGTAATTGAAGAAGTGTTGATGTTATTAAATGAAAATGTTTATTCATGAAAATCAAAATTAGACGCATTTTGCATTATCATGTATGATCAATATTGAATTAAAACGATCTATCAATCTAATATTTATTATTTGTTAAATATAGAGAATATATTACCTATCTTATCAGCAAAACAGCTAGCCAAAACAACAACAAGTGATATTATTGGGTGAAGACATTTCTGCATCTTGCTTATAACTTTAATGCCTTTCTCATCATATTTCTTTATTATCAAAAAAATGATATTGAATAAAATCATCTATCCATCTCTGATTGTATTCAGCACCAACTGTGAAAAATATTTTAGTTACATTGATTTAGTTAACATATGTATATAGAATTTTCCATATGTATACATTCAATTTAAATTGAATTTTATGAGGAAATTGTAATTTATTTTAACATTGCTATTTTCCTTTTCCATTCTCTCACTATTACAAATAATTCATAATAATAAATCTTGCTTTTAACTGGCAAAAATAAATAGCTATATAATAGATGTACAACTTAAAGCTTTTCTTTGCTTTCAGGAAGCATTTAAAGTGGTATATTTTATAGTCTATATAGCTACGGTTATCGAATAATTTTTACAGGTTTTAAAATATGAATTCCAAAATACTTGTATATAAGAATTAATTTAAGTTTGTTTTGCTACAATCAAAAGAAACTACTATTTTAATTGAATTGAATAGAAACTCAACCGAAGAAAGATTTGGCTGAATTAATGATTTTAGTTGGATTTTTATAAATAAATTTTGTCAAAACACGTTTTAGTTATGTATATATATATATTTATATATATACATATAACTGTGTTATTGGGTATAGCAAAACCTTTTCACCACAATTAAGCAACTAGGTTCTGGAAAAGAGACTTGATTGATACATATGCCCAATAAATGGTGAATAAAAAATATAATAAAATATTTATAAAAGATTAGGTTAAGTTAAGAGAATATCACTATGTTCATAAAAAGGTTTTTCTCTATGTATTTATTTTCATATTACAAATTGTTCTATTACCTATTATCTTCATTACCAATGGGAATTAAGAGAACACTTTCAAATAAAATCTACGGATATATTTTATATCATTTTAAAAGTTTCATTTTTATTTTATTGTATCGAAACAACAGAATATCACAATTTCAAAAAGTCTTCATCATTTGTCCACATGACAAAGTTTTCACCACCCACTAAACAACAACATGCATTTCGCGCGGAATTAATTTGGTTCAACCCGCTTTGAGCCTGAGAATATATTAAAAACTAATTTTGATTGATTTACTGGATTAAATGCTTTATAATAAATGTTCAAACCACTGAAAATGTTTTTGTTCTAAGAAGGTCTCAGTGGTTTTACAGTTGAAAAACGTCAGCACTACTCCGCGCGTGTTTGTTGACTGCCGAACGTGCATTTTGGGGAGGTTAACATGCTTTCCGCCTTACATCTAGGCGAGAGCTCGTCAACATTTTGGGAAAATACATAAAAAAATTGTAAATTTATAGAATAAGACTCTATATCTTACAAATGAAAAATTCTCATACTTGAAAATTTACACACAAATATATTTTGCAAACACTCAATAGTATAAACTTTATAACTTGAACTATAACTTTAGTCATAAATTAAATTGTGATTTTTTTTAGGCATCGTGTATAAAAACTTTTATAATGTTTTCTAGAATACATTATGACAACATAACTTAAATTTGTTTACATACTTGTACTAATAATAATTTTGCCTTTAATAAAGCCTTGGTAGTGTATAAAAATTTGTTTAGGAGTCATTAGGATGGGTAATGATTTATCACAAAATAAAAAAATGCATATAATATATATTTGCTAATCTTAATTATTTATACATCTTCACAACTTTTTCCACAAGCTGATGATGACTATACATTTTTCAAAATTTTCAAATTTTTATTAATTTTTGCCCCTACGCCTCTAAACTCCAACATAGGTAAATCTGAATATATGATTATTTAAACTTACCTAAGTTTATATATTTATTTTATTATATATAATATATAATTAAGATTCGAATTATTTTACAATTTTTCCTCAAATAATTATTTATTTAATTTTTCATTTATTATTTATCTTTGAATTTGAAGAAGGGGGCATTCTATTCACGCAGCTTTACAATATAAAATTTATAACTTTGCATCTTATAATTTTAATCAACTATGAACAACAGAAATAAAATTTTACCATATGATGAAAATTTTTCACAAGAAACTCTACTATATTGCAAAAAGGAGTGGGGGTGCTCTAGAATGATTTAACCCTCCAAGCAAAGTGTACTGCACCCTCGTAGAAAATAAAGATAAATATTTTATGCTTTCGCATAAAGGGCACAATTCGGTTTGGTACAAAACAATAAAATACAAAATAAATGGCAGGACGTCACCTTTTCTGCGAGAGAGAAACAAGAAAGGTGTTTTTTCAGTACGATAAAGGTTTTGAAAGTTTTAGATTGATATGGCGTTTAAAAATTTAATAAAAGAAGGGGAGTTACAGGTAATACATGTTAAGTTATTGCTTAAAAGTGTATATTCTTTATTTATTATCTTGAATTTTATAGCTAAGGAATATATATCAATATATCACAAAATAATATTATTTATTAAGAAAACTCAAAATAGAAGAAAATACATAGTATTCAGATTGATTGACTTTCAGAAATAAAAGTTTATGTTCATAAAATCCGATTTGTTTTTTTCAAGTTTTTGTCAAAGATTCTGAATCAGTTTTAAAAATTCATAAAATCTTCGAAATATATCAGTTGAAAATAGCGCTTATTATGTTTTAGCTAGGTTTTGGCTAGGCAGTTTCTTTGTAAATAATTGTTTAATTTGTTTTGACGATTTTATTTGATAATAAAGTTCATAGACTTAAAAACATCCTAAGATGTTATAAGCCTACTACAAGTGGTTTAACTAAAATAATTTATTATTGTATCATATAGTTTAAAACCTGTTTTACTAGAATTAATGTAATTACAAATATAATAAGTGTGACGGTATCAACTGAAAATTCGAAATCGTATCATATACTGTTTGGTGAAAATTATACGTTCAATTAAATAATTTAAAATTTCATTACCAATTAACAAGCTAAATCTCAATTCTTATCAATTACATCGATCAAATACACATATCTGGAGGTTTATGCAACTTGCTTAAAGGCACAATGCCACTCACAGTTAGACAAACAACTAGTTTGCGCTCTATGTTGTTATGTTTAGTAAAACTATGTTTAATAATTACTTATTAGCAAAGAAATTAATTAACTGACATTTCTAATATTTATTTAGACAAATAATTCAACATTTTTAAAATATACTAAAAATAATAATGGAAATAAAATCAAACCGAGTTTTTGGTTTTGAGTAAATCTGAAAAAAGGGGTCACATTGAGTCAATCTGAAAAAAGGGGCCACTTTCACACATTTTCAATGATATCTCGGCCAAATGATGAGCTACGAATTTGAAATTTGGTATATCGGATTTTCTCAAAAATAACTATAAAATGGCATCAAAATTATTTAAATACCAGGGTGGAGCCAATTCTGTAAGGAAACACGCTCATACCCTTTATGGATACCTTCTCATAAATAGTTAATTCTATATATGTTTTATTATTTATTTAGACTGTAATTAATAAATGTTTCGCAATATATATTATTTTATTTATTTTTGTATATAATATATTATATATAGTTTTTTTTTCATGAAAAATATGTTCATTATTTCTCCCCTAATTTACGATACTGGCAAGTTATGCAGTGTATCATGATCACCAAATTACAAACTTATAGTTAAATAACATGTTAATTAAATTTGCTCAATGTATATTAGTACAAAATGCCCCAAGAGGTAAGAGTATTATTCCCCAGTGCCTAATATTGGTCTAATTCCCTATATAATATTTGATAGGACGGCTGAATGCACATAAGTTGCAGCGCTAATTCCGATGAAGGGGGCCCTGGAGCAAACATCGCCGTGCATCGTCAGGGAAGGCCTGTGAATTCTGAACAATGGTTCGACCTGATTGCGCCGAAACGACATAATAAAATGCAAACCATTGATATCGCTCAATTACATCCCTAACAGACGAAGCAACTTGAATATAAGATTGTTGTAAGACAGAATACTTTAATTTAAATTATGATACAAAATGTGGATAGACAAATGTAATATTTATTTTTGACCGCCAAATGGAAATTTTTAGCTTTTTTGTTGGATCTCCAAAACCGGTAGACATGCCTTCTCAAAAATTTAATCACTCTTTCATTTCATCAAAGTAATGTTTTTGAGAGATTTTTCAGCCATTTTTGCTCCGTATCATCGGTTGGATTTGCTTTTGCCAAAAACTAACCAGCACACCACCCCCTCAATAAAAAGCGAATTTCTTTGAATCATTCAAATTGGCTCATCTGTGCATTGTGAACCAAAAATTGTATCCAAACATACATACACTCCCATACTACAGTTTTTTCTAAAGTACATATGCCAAAATGCTGAGAAGTTAAGATTTTCGATTTTTAGGTGTCCATTTAATTACTTTAATATTACTTGAAGCTTTTATACCTCGACTGTTTCGAGGATATAATAGATAAAATATAAAATTAGGGTTTTTAATAGCGGTGCACGCGTTGCAATTTAATGGATTTTATTGCCTTTGCGTGCTTCTAAGCATTATATATCTATTTGTATCCCTTTTAATTAATAGAAGTCGATAACTTGAATTTATCTTCATTTTATTGCGTTATTGAAAAAGTCAATAAAAGACGATGTTAGTCATAAGCATATGTAAATACATACTGATAGAATTCCTTCAGAAGTTTAGCCTAACTTGACAATGTCTTGGCAATGTGCTATCTCAAGTCGTTTGACTTTTATATATATAGTATTATCAGTTAATCAAAATAACTTTTTGCTCCTTATTTTTAAGATTCATTTGGATAATGTTTCATAATGCATTAATACATTTGCATAAAAACGTGTAAATACATACTATTCTGAATTGAGTTGGAGATTAACACAATTCACGGACCTGCCCTAAGACAGAGAGCCCATTGTTATTATATATATATATATATATATATATATATATATATAGATATATAAGTACTTTGTGTTTCCACATTATATGGAGAAAATATTCAAATATAAAATAACAAAGGGTCGAAACCCCATATACTTATTGATACTAAAAAAACAGATTGCATCAATGCCCATGATCAATCAATATAATAGAAAGTTGATATGTATTATAGAATTAACTTTATTAAAAAATAACGGTTAAAGAGTTATGAAAGTGTCTTATTGAGTTCTTATATAGTTCAATAGACTATATTTATTATTATTGCATCAATTCCAATAGAAATCTGTCGCCTATTTCATGTTTCAAAACTATCTTTATGAGTTTTTTTTATTCATAATTATAAGTTATGCTATATTAGTTATTCTATGAGTTATAATGATTATTTAAATTATTTTATTAAACATACCAAGATTCAAAAGTGATTTATTTAATTATAAGATATATGCCTATTAACATTTGAGAATTGTTAGATATCTTGCCATCCAAAACAATATATATACAGTAGACTCTTGCTAATCCCGACACTATTAAAAATTGGATTACTGGAATGTTCGGATCACTGGATTATATTGACAAAGTATAATTCTTAACGTATGATATTGAGAATAAAGTTAAAATTTCCAAAAATTTCTGAAAAAAAAATCGATCGTGAGGGTGTCAGATTTCTCGGCCTATCAGAGGTCGGGTTCTCGGCCTATTGAAGTACCGGATTAGTGAGAGCCTACTGTATATTATATGTATATATTATAGCAAGTATATCATTTAAAAGCGTGCAAATAAAAAGAGATTAATCATGAATTTATTTCAAAGAATCGAGTTCGATTCATCCCAGGCACAAAGCATTTGAAATAAAGGCGTCAGTGTAAACAGAAAATTGTTTGCTTACACTCGGCATATATTACAGTATGTAAACATTTGGACACAAAACAGATTCGACAGTAGCCCTAGTCATCCTTTGAAATTTATATATTGGGAACGTGCTCTCTATTTTATTTGCGAATTTGCGATAGTGTAATTGTAGGCAACATAGACAGGTATAATATACGTTCAAAGAACCAAACTATTCATTACTGGCGAATAGTGTAATTAAAAGCAAGTTTAATTAACATTAGCAGAATTTAATTCTG